ATTTGGACGGTGCAGGTGCATGAATATTCTCAAACGATGATAATATTCCCAGATATGTTGTTTGTGATTAACAAAACAACACAGCCTAGCTAGCGTTGCACGAAGCTTATGGGCATGGCGACAGTGGACACTTGCTACATTCAGGTACTCCTCGGAAATTTGTAACGTCACTAACTACTGTCTGTCTTCACCTGTAAAGTATTTTGGTGTTTCTTTATTTGACTGGCAAACTAGCTAACTAGCATACACCTTATTTTACGTCTTATATCAAATCTATACATTTTATGAATTACAGAACAATGGTTAAGGACTAGCAATAGTTCAGGTTCAGGTATATATCCATTATAAATAAATTATGTCCGATAAATTCGAACGTCACATTAATTCCCATCTTGTACTTTGTATCGCGAGACTTTATGGCGGGGGAAATAACAAACGGAAAAACGTTTTAAGAAATAGATGACTAACAACTAAATCAACTAAATCTCACTTATTTGACAAATAATTGTAATTATAGTTAGCTGTTTTATTTTATAGTTGTGCTTTATGTATTGTAAATTAAACAAATCCGTCATCACAAAAACGCCTTCGTATCGTTACACATTTGGTTTAACTTAAAATTGTAATCTCGCATAAGAGCCAAATTGAACAAAATAACAGAAATGCATATATTTATCTCACTTCCTGTTGAGAATGATGAAAAATTGCGATTTCATAATAAGAGTCCTCAGTTGTAACTAGTATGATCCGCTATGGAAATGTTTCGTGAAAAACGGGAAAATCAATAACTTTGTTAATTTTAACCACACACAATTATTTATTTATCTGTTTTGTTAAGGTGTCTTTAAACGGAGCGACATTTTGTCATGGTGCTTTTACACCGAAATAAACATAGTACGCTTTCTGGAAAAAAATATAGTTTCACTTCCGGGCTGGAACCGACACCTCTGTTGCTGTCGTCTTCCTGCTCTCCCCCAGTCCGTGAATCATATTAGCACAAAGTTTGCTTTTTTATCTACGACGACATTGCAGCATTGGACCGCCGAGTAGCCGAAAATGGTGTTTAAATTGACTGTCAACAGTGCCAGGAGGGTCACGAGGACGCTGTGGCTGCTCGTGCTAGTGAGTCTGTCTGTGAGCATCTGTGTGTGCCGAGCATCTTCACCTCAAGAGGAGGACAGTGCCATGGAGAACATCGTTACAGAGAAGAGGGCTGAGGAGAGCCACCGGCAGGACAGCGCGGACCTGCTCATCTTCATCATGCTCCTCACCCTCACCATCCTGACCATCTGGTTGTTCAAACACCGGAGATTCAGGTTCCTGCACGAAACTGGACTGGCGATGATTTATGGTGAGTGACTGAGGGAATGCAGCGGTGTCATCACTGTCGTTTTGTGCTAATAATTAGATTTAAATACGATTGCGTGTCTGGGTGCATTCGTCCAACCCAAATACGTTGCTACGTTGTGGCGCATTTTAGGCAGCAATCTTATTTACGGTAATATGAACACCTGCTCGATCTTGAACATTACACACAAGCAGTCAAGTATTTATGGCCACCGTACCATGAAAATCCACCCTCAAAATTTCACTTCTCCACTCTGTGGTCTGGTAAGGGCAAGGATGAATGAGCTCGAGGAGGACGTTTTGTCGAGGAGGCTGCACAATATGTGATTGACTGATTCCTCCTTCACTCAGACACCAACATGCAAACCTTCCTACACCTGATAGGACAAACACACGTTAGACAACCACTCTGTTCTATTCTAGTGTGTCTACTTAAATGTGTCCAGGCTAACCAGTTTGGCCTACTGGAGCACTGAAATGGCACAGAGCCATCATGAACCGTGTTGGCATTTTACTGCTTGATAAGAGTTGGCATGTACCACCTGTGCTTGATTGTCAGCTCCTATATTTTCCGGTTACTGTATTTGCGTCAGGTTTTAAGCAACATGTCACTCAACTTCTTCCTACAAGTTTAATCACCTGTTAAGCAATATTCCTAATTTGTCTGGTATAATTTGACAGGACCATTAACTTCCTATCATTCTGTCATTCAGCCTGGCTTTGTGAGACTTTTTCTCCATTTATTTTCCTCCTGCTCACCCCACATTCACTCCCTTCGTGACACCTCATCAATGTTGGCCTTCTTTTTTGCAACCATAGACGGCTTTACATTAATCACCCTCTGTATCCTCTCCGTCTTGCCTTTATTCTCTCCCAGGCGTACTTGTCGGCGTGGTCCTGCGTTATGGCATCCACGTTCCTCGGGACATCAGCAACGTCACGATGAGCTGCCACGTGAACGCCAGCCCCCCCTCCCTGCTGGTCAACGTCAGCGGCAAATTCTACGAGTACACTCTGAAAGGAGAGATCGGTGCCAACGAGGTGAACGATATACAAGATAATGAGATGCTGAGAAAGGTACAGACCGTCAATAATGTTTGAAATGTTTCATTATGTCTGACCACAAAAACTTACTCCACTATTATACTGTAATGCCACCACATTACTGTACTATTACTATAGATCTGTCAACAGGTTTAAGGGTTTTCTGCTCGTCATGTTGCAACTGTACAATCACTGAATCAATCACTAACTCAATCAACTGGAAATTCTTTGGAAATTTTTTATTATTGGACAAAACGTCCAGTTTGAAGACGTTACTTTCAGCTCTCGGAAATTCGATTACATTACATTTTCACCACAAAATGATTGATCAATTAATCCAGAAAATCTGATTAATCGAGAATGGAAGTAATAATTAGTTGCATCCTTAGTAAAAGATATTATGTGGTTTTGTATCTTTATGCAGCATGAATTCTCCACATCTTCTCTTTTTATAGAAGCCCGATAAGGAACTTTTATTTAAAAAAGGTGTATTACTTTTGATGAAATAAGTGGCAGGATGCTGCCCTCTGAGAGATGTACTATAACATTTAAAATGCTATTATAATAACTTTTCGTCGACTGTCATGTGAGCTACTTCATCAAACAACTTTTTATGTTTAATTCTGTAATGTGATACCATTTGTTTTGTATTTATCTCAGGTGACCTTTGACCCTGAAGTGTTCTTCAATATTCTCCTCCCACCCATCATCTTCCACGCTGGCTACAGCTTGAAAAGGGTACAGTAGTATTTTAGGCTCTCTCTCTGCCGGTGCACGAAGACAAAATGTGGAAACATTTAACACGTTTGACTCCTGATGTCCTGAGTCGACGAATGATGATTATAGTAGCAGATCAGATCAGGTGACTGTTGTTCAATCGTTTTGTCTTTCAGAGACACTTTTTCCGTAACATGGGATCCATCCTGGCTTACGCCTTCCTGGGGACAGTTGTTTCCTGTTTTGTTATTGGGTGAGAATATTAATTTGCAAAAAACTAACACTGTAATCTAACACACATATGGCCACAAAAGAGCCAGCAGCAGAGCAGTATTCATACATGTCAATTACTGTGGTGGTAAAGTTCCCTTAATGCCACTGAAGTCAGTGTTGTTTATGATGATGTGCAAAACCACCTGCTGTTGCTCCATCAGGCTGCTGATGTACGGCTGTGTGGTGCTAATGAAGCGGGTGGGACAGCTGGCTGGAGACTTCTTCTTCACCGATTGTCTGTTCTTTGGAGCCATTGTCTCAGCCACTGACCCCGGTATGTATGCTCGATCTCAGTCATTCAAGTTACTTACAAGTAAGGCAACATCCACACTAACGATCTCCGTCCACACGGCGTTTCAGCATCGTTTTCTAAATGATCTCCGTCCATACGAAAACGCCTGAAAACGAATATCACGTGACTATTCACGTACTCTGGGCATGCGGGTGGGTGCCGGTGTAAACAGGAAGCCGATTGGTTGCTTAGTTAAAAAAATACGACTAATTGCTCCAATAGCGGCTGCTTTCTCCGCAAAAATGCAGACTTTAACTGCTTAACAGCTGCTGTGTAAACAAGGTCAGCAACACCTGTAATCAGTTGTACATGTTGAATTAACCTGGTAGTCGATCAGTAATCAAGGCTGTTGTTGTTTGTGATTTTCCGGGAAATGGTCACGTGATAGGTGATAGGGGCGGGAAGGACACGTCGTGACTGCTAAGAACCAATCAAGTAGCGAACGCGTGTGTGGGCGTCATCGTTTCCAAACATATCCGTTTTAGACCGTCCACACGAAGAGGCAACACCGGAGTTTCCGTCCTCGGGAGCGTTTTCAAACTCCTCCTTTTCCGGTGCTGGAAAACTCCGGCGTAGTGCGGACGCTCAGTGTAAAAGTAGCAAAACATATGCGTTTTCAAATGGAAAGGGAGTAGTGTGGACATGGCCTAACAATTATTGTAACCTGGATTCACTTTTGTCTTTTGAAATGTTAAAAGCGTGAAGCACACATTCTAGCAAACAGGACACAAACAACAGAAAACCAAAGATTTGTCAAAGTTTAATATAATAGACTGAGAATAATTCGTTCACTGGAGAAATGACACACGACACAAAGTTCAACTGACATGGAGATGTGATCCACAGCGAGGAAAAAGTGGAGAGAACAAACATTGGAGAAGCTGGTTGGGGAAACATTTTAGAAAAGATATATTCAATAAATGAAAAATACCAAATCCATTGACTGTGTTGCTCTTTGTTCACAGTGACGGTCCTGGCTATCTTCAACGAGCTGGAGGTCGACGTGGATCTGTACGCTTTGCTGTTTGGAGAGAGCGTGCTCAACGATGCGGTGGCCGTGGTTCTGTCCTCGTGAGTCCTCTTAAAATCACGTCACATTCAAACCATGAGTCTGCATCCATCCCAAACCAGCTTGAATGTGCACAGAGACATGTGAAAGTGCAAGTCATGCTTTTTTTATCGATCAGCCAGTGACCTTTTAACGAACCTAATAACAGCTTCTCATTAACGCCATGCTAAACACGAGGTGGTCTCTAAGCTAACACGCATGTTTTTTCCTCCTCCTCTGCATGGGACTGTTTATTATTTCCACAGAATTGTAAATTATGATAGCAGGCAAAGTGGAGGGGCCGGTCCCTGCGGAGAGACTCAGACCAGCCCATTGAACGGGTGAACTAAGTAGAACATGGCTTTGTGTGCCTTTGCAGTGCCTTGGGACAAACATGACGAATCAATGGCCATTTGTTTTTCGACTCTGCCTTATTCACCCAGAGATCCAGAATATTTATTTATTTATTCATTTTATTTCTTTTTTTTGGTAAACCGTTTTTTTTGAGGTTGATGAGTCAGCGACAAACACATTGCCATTATTTTTTGAAGATTCTGTTTATTAAAAGGGCCAATAAGGAGGCAGGACGCTTAAAAACAAAATGTCTGCTGATTTGTTGTGTGAGTGGGGGCTGTGAATGGTGAGGGGGAATTCATCGCTTTCAGTATATTTTATCGCAAAATAACTTATCTTACTGACGGCTATCCTGCTGAATTTTAAATAATTCTGCTGCAATAAAATCCCTCTCATCCCAAACTCCAATTCATAAGCTGTTTGAGCCCCGTTTGATGAGAGGTGTCACCTTCATTGGGATTGTTCAGTGACGTGTTCCTTGCAGAGAAAGCTTGACCTCAGACTAACCTGCATGCAGTCTAACGAATGAATTACGTATCTCTACTTATTTCCACACAGTAACATCACTTCAGCAGACGCTCAAGTCAGCCACTTTGTTATGAGTTGAGTACTAACACTGAACTATCCAAATAGAGTGAGAGACTCTTTTGTTATTCTACATCACTCTGTGTTTCTCTTTATCTTAACTTGCATGAGTGAGAGTTGTTTGCTGTGAAAGCCTGCTCTTTATCAGCAGAAGCAAAATTTATGAAATTATTATTATCAAAAAAGGTCCCTCTACGAGGAGACCTGCTATAGGGGTGGAATGTGCATTTATACAGTACATGTTAGACAGCTACATCATATGATACAAGTGCCTTCTACATTCACTGTGTTCTAGCTTTAGTTTTAGTTCATGACTCTGTAAACCTCCAGTCTGCAGTTATTAATGTTTGACTTGATTCACATTCTCTGTACGCTTGTGCTCTTTCAGGTCTATAGTAGCTTACCAGCCACAAGGGGACAACACGTTCGAGGTCATGGCGTTGCTGAAGTCTTTCGGGATGTTCCTCGGAGTTTTCAGCGGCTCCTTTGCTCTGGGAGTGGCCACCGGGGTCGTCACTGCTCTCATATCTTTTATTTATTTATTTATTCATACATTAAGGAATATCTATTTCTAAATCTTTTCCCAAGAAAGACATGTAATGAAATGTAAAACGCATCCGCTGGAGCATGTTTACAAAGCATAAGTAGTTAAATGTTAAATTAAGTCTGAATTTATTACTCAGTTGTTAGTAATATTCAAGTGATAAATGATGTTTCGTAAAAAATACTACATCACTAAAACAACCTTGTATTCCGAGAAATAATGGTATAAAAAATGAGTCAATAATGGGACTTGTTTACAAAGTATTCTTCTTGTTTGAGGAATCCACTTCTAGAAATACTGTCGACTGAGTATTTTGAAATATGGACGACTGCTCCATCAGAAGCCATGAGTCGATTTAACAAAATCACTTTGCTTTGGAAACAAGATTTTTCCAGATTCACTTGTTTGAAAGAAAAGGAAACTTGTTATGAAGTTATAATATGAATTCATTTTGTAGCGTCTCCGTTAAGCTCCTTGACTTCTTGTCCATACGTGACTAAGTTCACCAAGCTGAGAGATTTCCCGCTGTTGGAGACGGCTCTGTTCTTCCTCATGTCATGGAGCACATTCCTGCTGGCTGAAGCCTGTGGCTTCACAGGTAGCACAAACACACACACACACACACACACACACACACACGTTTAAACATGCTGAAACAGACACAGTAATGATGGTTCACTGTACTTTAATCTGCTGCCATTCTATAAGAAATGATCAGATAAAGGACTTGATTCCCCTGTATCTCGGTCCCTCCTGGTGTGTTGCAGGTGTTGTCGCTGTGCTGTTCTGTGGCATCACTCAGGCTCATTACACCTTCAACAACCTGTCTCCTGATTCCCAGGACAGGACCAAACAGGTCAGACCTGCACTACAGCCACACCACTGCTCACTCTCTTCTTTCACAATGTCCGTGCTTTTATTTTGACGGTAAAAAAAAAAAAGGTTAACGGTGGAGTTTATCAGTGACCTTGTCAAGAATTCTTTAATCAGTTGATGTTTCTCTTGTGTTGCAGCTGTTTGAGCTGCTAAATTTCCTGGCAGAGAACTTCATCTTCTCCTACATGGGTCTGACCCTGTTCACCTTCCAGAGCCATGTCTTTAATCCCATGTTCATTGTCGGAGCTTTTGTATCCTTTGCATGTGAAATAAAGCCTGATGTAACCCTTTGCAACAGCTGGCTATTTGCATGTTAGTACCAGCGTAGAGGAGGGAAGTTCTCACAGTATTACAACTAACCGCCGAGAAGCAAGCGGTAATGGGTTTAAAGGTGCGGTAAACGAGCGCGGCACAGGCCGAGGAGACTTCCCTGGCTCTCTGTTTTGTTGTCCTCTCCTTAACCTCGCTCCCACTCAGGTGGCAGTGTTCCTGGGGAGAGCTGCGAACATCTACCCTCTCTCGTTCCTTCTTAATCTGGGACGACGCAACAAGATCAGGTCCAACTTCCAGCACATGATGATGTTTGCGGGTTAGTGGCACACAGATAGAAGAAGACATTTATTGTGTATATTGTAATCGCTGTATTAGATGACTAATAGATTAGATTAAGCACCTCTGCACCCTGTGGATGCACTTTTCTAATTTCTTGCAGCTCACTGCGAGTCGATACAAAGATAACCAACACAGTTTTGTAAACAGAGATCACCAGAAGTGTCTTTTATAGGAACTTGCATACTTGTTTGTGAGTAAAATTCTGCGTTCTTTGCTTCTCAGGGCTACGAGGCGCGATGACGTTTGCCCTGTCCATCAGAGACACGGCGACATACGCCCGTCAGATGATGTTTTCCACCACTCTGCTCGTGGTCTTCTTTACAGTTTGGGTTTGTGGAGGTGGCACCACCCAGATGTTGTCCTGCCAGCGTATTCGGTAGGCCTCTCCTTCACCCATCTTACCCGTTCCAGGGACAAGCTGGACTTGCTATTAGCATTGATTGAAAACAAACTGGGGAATTTTAGATAATGTCAGAGAAATTTACTTTATCAAATGCTTTTTTTTTTTTGTCCAGATATGACTCATGTTTACCTGGTTCATCAGGTTAAAACTCCAGGAATCATTCAGTACAACCTTTGGCTCTGCTCTGGTGAAGGCTTGAGGCTTTTTACAGCTCGACCACCTTTTACACGCAAACTTGCTGCTCAGGAACTCGCTAAACGGGGGAAACGCGCTTCACAACTCTGTTCTGCCCCGACGGTTTATAACTGCTATCGGTTTACATGTGTTTGTCTTCCTTCAACAGAGTGGGAGTGGACTCTGATCAAGATAACCCTGTAAGTGTGGCCCCTGTGGAATCCTTATTGCTGTCATGTGACTGCAAGAAAACGCCTACATTGCATTTTCTCTGTTTTTACAGGTGAGCATCACTGAAGGCTCAGAGAGAAGAAGCACCAAACAAGAAAGTGCCTGGCTTTTCAGAATTTGGTACAACTTCGACCACAAGTATCCTTTGGCAGCAACTGTCTAGTTTTTAATCAATGTCATAAACGTCAGAAAACAACTGCTAGTAGCATCAAACCTGCTCCAGTGGAGTGGCGACTACTGTAGTTCACCGTGTCCGACAGCAGAGGGAGCACCATGTTCAGACTTAAAGACAAATGATCTCTTTTATTATTGTGTAATATAAAGGTCATTCATGTATTTTAAGTGAATGACCTAAGTTTTGAGGAATCCTTGAATGTTTGTTTCGTCTCACCACTCACTCTCTATGCGTCCTTGACTCGAGCCCCCTCTCCAGCTACCTGAAGCCCATCCTGACTCACAGCGGCCCCCCTCTCACAGCCACGCTGCCTCCCTGCTGCGGCCCCCTCGCCCGCTTCCTCACCAGCCCTCAGGCCTATGAGGTCAGACACTGGTTCATACGGAAGCTCTTTCTGGCGGAACTGTGTTTTTTGTTAAGATTTATCCAGAATTAACCGATTTTAAAAAAAAAAAGTTATTTTGATGAATCATGAAGCACCGAGGTCCAGTTTGAAACTTAAGATTTTGAATTGATAATAATCGATCTTTTATTGGTAAATCCTTTGCTGTATTCTGGTTTGAGTATCTGCATCGTTCCTCTTCCCTCTCACCAGAATGAGTGCCAGTTGAAGGACGACGACTCTGACCTCATCCTGTCGGACGGTGATCTCAACCTGACCTATGGCGATATCACAGTCAGCACAGATGCGTCAGGTTCCCACACGAGCGGCGGTCCGGCCTTCGCTGGCGCCGCCATCTCTGACGACTTGGACAGAGAGTTGACGTGCGGAGATCACGAGCTGGTGATGAGGGGCACACGCCTGGTGCTGCCCATGGATGACTCTGACCCGCCCTTTACGGACCCCCACCACCGCTTGCGGATGTGAAGAAAGTCTTTTTAACGCAGACCCAGACAACCGTCCGACTCTGACTGATCCAAGCTATTGAGCAAACGACCCGTACCTGACACTCCCTCTTTTGTTCCTCCACTTGTTTTCCCCTTTTGCTCCTGCCTCATTCCTCTTTCCCCCCCACACATCTCTCAGTTCCATTTCCTCACTTCCTCTTGTGGCAAATCCCCGTCTCTACCTCATTCTCGCTCTGCTCGCTTCCACACCTCTCTGACATCTGCCATAATTGTAATATAGTCTTTATTTATTTTAGGGTTTTGTTGGTAATTGAGTACCAGTTTCTCTTAGTTTTGCTTAAAGCTGTGTGTCAGTCACCTTACTGTAGCATTGCTCAGAGGTCTAGCAGCATGTGATAGTGTGTAAATGCAAGTACCAACCACTAGCTAATTTGTCAATGTACAGTATACCACAAGAGTACTATAACTTTGATATGCATGCTGAGGATGCTCGCTGTTTTATTCTTATGGGAGGTTGAGGGCTTTTGTGTTTTGGGTCTAACCTTGAATGTTGCTGCCTTCTCTCTGCGCATCAGAGGCATGCTGACCCAGTGGACTACTTTACTGTACATTTTGTTACAATCAAGTGCCTGGGAATTGTAGTTTTAAGCCTGGCAACCCATACTGGATTCGCTCTTGGAAGCAAGGCCACTTTAGGATGGGCTGTAGTTTTTCTTTGTAAAAAGAACAAAAAGAAATACAAAAAACTAAACAGACACATCTGTCCATAAGGTAGCAATATACTCAGTGGGTGTTTGTGCTATTTGCCTGTAAATATTGTGTAACAATGTGATGCTGCTGATGCAGTGAAAGTTGTGGATCTCTCCCAATGACCTTTGACTGTGACACAGAGAGGGACATTACACCTTATTTTAGACGCTGGTGTCGCTCACAGCAGAACAAAAGGGCTGTTGTTCCCAAAACGAGATCCAAAGGAGTTTTAACGGAGAAAGATTAGTGCCATTTCGTTCCTGCATCACGACATGTTGTGAAAACTGAATGCAGACGACCTTAAAGTGTTTTGTGTTATTTTTGCAACAGAGCTGAAGGACTTTGAGCTGAGTCACACATTTGTCGTACACGTTTAGCTTTGAGCATCCATTTTCTATTACAATCGTGCGTTAACGTCGAGACTTTAACATTTTACCTGAAAGAAATGTAACCTGAACAACACATGAACTGACACTAAAGGAACTTGTTGGTAAAAGCACTGGTGACTTTCTGAGTAAAGATTTGGCAAACCAGAGAAATTATTATCTTTCTAAATTATATGTTTATATAAATGATTTGTATTAGCGCTGCAACCAATTATTATTCTATTTTCAATTAATCAGCTATTTTCTGTGCAATAGAATTAATTTAAATATCTTGTTTTGTCTGATCAGTAGTTGAAAACCCAAAGATATTCACTTTATAATCATGGAAGACTAAACAAAAAGGCAGATGTTTATATTGGAGAAGCTGGACGCGGTGAATGTGAGGCGTTTTATTTATCAATTCATGGCTGATATGAGCAGATATGTACGTTGGTACTGAATTAATTGGATGTGTTGCATTTAACTCGTAGTCTCTCATCAGTCAGTGTGGGTGCACAAGAAGTAACGGAAGAGTTTTGTGAGCTCCTTTCTGTGCAGCAGTATAGCAGCTGTTAACGCGGGTTTAACAGGATGTGTTGATAGGGCGTCACGGTGGCAACGCAGTGTTGATGTGGACAGAAGCCAGAAAACACTTTGAACGCTGTGACTAAGTTCAACACAACAGTTTGGTGAGAGAGTGGATGCAAGAGGAGGAGGATGATGATGATAGGGTTTCAGAAAAGAGTAAAAGAAGTAGATGATGAAAGAGAGAAATGGAGGACGGATAGTTTGTGTGTTCGTGTGTTCGGCACGATACAGGAAGGAAGAGCAGCGATATCTCTTTTCCTTCTACAGTTATCTTCTGCTGTGCAGGAACTTCTTATTGAAAGTATTTTTTTTAATCAGGCTTGCCTCTTGACAACAGATCGTCCAGGAAATGATTTATTCTTTCTACCATTTATACTTTGTTCCATTATTTGACTTTTATTTTGTGGAAGGGAAACGATGAAGTAAAAAAATAAAATAAAAGTTGAAAAGTGAATAATTTGCACTCATCCATTCAGAATGTTTTATTGTTTTGCTCTTATCTTTTATCCGACAGCTGCTTTTATATTATTTATCTTTATGTTTTGGAAGGTTATGGGGGGAAAAAATGAGCAAATTCATGTCAGTTTAATGAGTCTTGAATGATTGTTATGTTGGTTTGTTGATGTTTCTTTGTAAAGAGTCAATTCCACATCGCAGTGGCAGCAGAGATGTTTAAGAGTCCTTTATACTGCTGTCCCATCTCATCGCTTCACTGTGTGTGTGCGTGTGTGTGTGTGTGTGTGTGTGTGTGTGTGTGTGTGTGAGAGAGTGTGTGAGAGAGAGAGAGAGAGAGAGAGAGAGAATGCTGTTGCCATAAGCTCTACAGAGCATTAATCATTCATCTTCCTCTGATGGTGGGGAGACAAAAATAGAAAAATATATACAAGCAGAATCTTGTGCCGCTGTTCTTCAACTGACACATGAAATAATGTGAAAGCTGATATAGGTTTTGGTGTTTGCATACTGCTCTGCCCGTGTAGGTTTTTTTTCTCTCTCTGTTCTCTGAATGGTGACTTGTGACAGGCTGTGATCATTGGAAACCCTGTCTGAAGTAGCTGACCAAAGAGGCCTGCTGTGCTTTGTGTTTTCAGACAGTTCACTCTCTCTTTATACTGCAAACTGTGCGTGTGTGTGTGTGTGTGTGTGTGTGGGAGACGTTGTGTTCTCTCTCTCTTCCCATGTTGCAAGTACTGACTGTTTACATCTGTGTAAATATACTCTCACCTGTCCATGTGCGTGCAATGGTTAATAAACAGAAGCCTGTGCTTTTCATTAAAGCCCTCGCTCTGTTGGCCTCCTCATTTACCTCATCTTCTTCTATTGGATGTCGTGGTCGTGTAAGAATGCAGCTGTGGAGCTCCAGAGATCATCCCATCATCCTCAAGAAACACCAAAGAAGATTAGCGCCAGAAGTGATTTTACTTGAGTTGCTTAAATCCGTGTATTTTCACATTATGCCAAGAAGAGGTTTATAATCTTCACAGCCTTGGATTGTGGCAGGTAGCCCAAGCCTGCGAGTTGTTTTTAAAGATGGTCGCATATATCAGTGGGATGAAGTCAATTACAGGTGCAGTGGTTTCCAACATGGAGGTACGGCTCCACCAAAAGGTTACAACATAAACACTGAGGAGACAAAACAAACAGTATTTCTCTCTAAGAACAATCTTTATTTTCCAGATTTGTCTCTTTTTGTGCCTCTTTGCCGGTGACAGCCGTTGCGTCTGGTCCATTCTCATAAATGCCACATCTCAGGAACACCTGGAGGGAATTTCTTCCAAGTTTGGCACAAAAACGTCCACTTGGATTCAAGGATGACCTGATTCGATTTAGGTCACTGTGACCTCACAAAACACCTTTTTGGCCTGATTCAATCGTTTACTTCCTAATTATGACAGTTTTACACAAATGTCTAATAGATTAAAATGAAACAGTGAGGACGTTTTGGACAGACGTGGATGTAAACTGCAACATGAGCGGTTGGCGGAGGTGTACAACTTGAAGACGGTATTTCTTTCTTATGTAACACTGAATTGTTTTATCTCCTCCGGGCTCTAAAAGTTCAATAGAAACAATCCCAGAAGAAAGAAAACCCTTTTTGGATTGAACTTGTCAACATATGCAAGTTGTTACGATGGTTCAGAAGTAGACACTGTTTCATTTGAGAGTACGCTTAAAAGGTCGTGAATCACTTCTAGTCTAGACCTGTGAACTATGATAGAAGTACATGGATTATTCATCACATACTAGTATTTATTGAATTAATTCACATTTAACTCTAGGGCACCATCTTAAATATGCACCTTTCTCTAATAGCCACATCGTATTCTCCCAAGTTGATTAAAGACTCGCCAAGCTTACAAATCATTATGAATTGATCCATCCATCCAGGATAAGTGGACAAAGTGGTGTTATTATGAAAGCCGCGCCCCCGCACAGCCAAGACTGATGGCGTTTTATTCTCCCAGCCACGATTTGTGCCAGATATCAGGTAACATGTTCCTAATATGGACACAACTCCCTCCAGTCTGCTAAAGAATGTCTGCGTGGTGGAGCTGCAGTCCGGGGAGGAAATAGTAGTTTTAAAGGGCCACTTAGCTTCAGCTCAAGTAATAGATGTCGCTCAGCTGAGCTCTGTCTTGAAACCTGATTTCCACACAATTGTTTATGTTGTTGATGAAAAGTTAAATTGTATAATGGTTTTAAATCGAGCAAAAAGTCTCACTTGTTACAAGAACAAATGCACTGTTCTACTACAGCAGATGGCGGTAGGTATTATATGCAGTGCAACCTCCTTCACATTTGAAGTAAATACTGGATTCTTGTTTTTTTTTGTGAAATGCACTTTTTATAAAATGATAAACTGCCTTTACTCTCGCACAGTAAAACCTCTCCGGCCAGATGTTCATGACAAAAGGACCTGCACAGACCAAACATGTGGCTCTCATCAACATTGATCTAAGGTAGCAACTTCATGGTGTTTGTTGACTATATATATTAAATAACAAGTCGTGTACAGTAATTATCGATTTAAAGCTTTTTTTGTGAGTAGAAGAAGACATTTGATGTTACAGCACGTTATTCATAAGAAGCCATATCACGACCTTACCTCCCTTCACATCTTCATCCTGACTGTACGAACACGTGCACGTCCTCACTCTGGTTGGAGTCGGATGTTTGTCTCGGTGTTTGGATTCTCTTTCACACAGCCCAAAGAGCTGTTATAGTCTCGATGACACGGTTGATACAAAAGCTGCCATCTATGTTTAATAAGAGGAACACCTTTTGGGCATTTCGTCATCCATTTGTAATTGTAATGGATTAACGTTGAGGGTTAAGTTTACAGGCTGCATGTATTTACTTTGGGGTTTAGAATGAGTCATCTGGATGCAATTCCTCTATTCAATACCAAAGAAGGAGACGAGTGAGGCCAACACAGAAGGACAAAGTGTGTCAACTTAACAAGTCAGTTCCTCCTCTGTAAACAACAGGCATGTTAAAATATTATAAGGATGATAAATATCATACATGCAGAGCTCTTAGCCTCAGAGAGGCCACGTATTGTTGAGTCTCAGGGCTCGTTGATGCAGAAAAGTTACGACTTTATTTTCTTCTTGTGAATTCCTGGTTGAGGTCATTGTTTATGAGAGCCTACAGAGGTTTGGCTCATGTCCTAAAGGTTTTTTTTTTCTTCTTCTCTCTCCTCCCTCTGTCTTTTAAAGCTGCGTTGCCTCCGCAGATTGTACCTTTCGACAAAAACCCACCGGACACACTGCTGCTGGTTGTTCGGGTGAGAGACATCTCATCTGTTCGCTTTGGAAAGGTGAGTCCGAATCCACAGCTGTGTTTCACTCTCGGTATCAGGCAGAGCTGCTCGGGTCGCTCCTGTTAAACAGCTGAGACAGAAGACGTTTATCTCAAGGTGGTCCAGAGTTATGCGTGATGCGTTATTGATGCTTTTATCTTATTGGATGGAGGTTTCCGACGTATTTAGAGTCGGTTACATCTTCAGTTACTCACACAGGGTCCCGACTGGAGAATACTGAAATGTGCGGCACATTTTCTTGTAGTCGTGCACGTTGCGCTGCGCAACAGGTGATGCGCTTTGTCTGCCTATCTCTATATTCTACCCTACATATTACTGTTCATATTTTTTTTAACTTTTTTGCGCTTTTGCGCTGTGTCAGTGGGTCATTTTGACACGGATTTCCTTTTAAAATAATTTAAATTTAAACAATTTAAAATTGTTGTTGTTGTTACTAACTAACAGTAATGGGATTTTTCTGATTGTGTATTTTCATTTGAGGCTACTTTATACTTCTACTTCACTGCATTTCACAGGGAATATATTGTACTTTTACTCTATTAACATATTTAGATTGTTAGTTACTTTTTCTATTAAGATTCTCCAAACAAAACTTACTTTATAAAACATGAGATCAATGGTTACAACCAAAGCCACCGAAAAGTATATAAAGCATCTAACCCATGAAGCTACAACATAAAAGTAATGCTTAAATGTTGTTGCATCAGTGATATTTGGTCCAATAATAATACGTTTTGAATTTGATATACTTTTACGTATCAGTCAATGATCTGAATACCTCTTCCATCACTTCTCCCTCATACAAGCTGTCATGTCTGATTGTAACCTGTACAATGTAATGATTGCCTCCAGCACAAACAGAAGCACCAGCTTCTCTTGTAGATCAAATGGTGTGTTGTGATATTATCGTACTGCTGGCATAATGAACAGCAGAGCCCAAAGGCACCATGAAACTGTCAGAACATACATCTGCTTACCGTCTCCTCCCTTTCTGGGTTGGGCGGCTGCCAAACCAAATGCATGATGTCATTAAAGAGACCTGGAGATTACGGTCCTTTCTCTGGCACACTGGACCTCCTTGTGGCTCCAGTATGACTTCACCATCCTCTAAAAGCCATAAAACTTTGTAGCCTACTTTACTGAGTAATAAATTAATCCACTTTCAACTTGAAAAGACGCTTTGCTTTGGGCTTTTTTAAACAGCAATTTAAAAAAATCACTTTAAGACAAATCAGATTATTCTTGTAAATGTTTTTATTTTTAACATTTGATGTACAAATCAGCACAAAAGTAGTGAAGGCTACAAATCCAACAGTGCAGTTGGATACACATTATTCATTAATAAAGCCGGGTATGTGTATAAGTTATATCAGTCTTCTATGAAGCTTATGTCAGCAGTCATCAGGCCAGCAGCGGGACATTTGCCACACTAAGACATCTGGGAGCTTTGGTGCCTGCAGTTTATTCAGGCAGAAACATGCTTTTGTTGAAGGGACAGTTTCATCACTTCTTTTATTCTTGCAGACAGACAGAAGAAAGAGGGGGAGGGAGAGAGGGAGAGAGAGAATGTGTCTAAGTGTAGATGACCGAGCTGATGAAACACATGAAACAGCGCTCTCTCACCAGCCCGGCGCACTACTCCTAAATAGGCAATGCTGCCTGTTTGACTCGACGAGCTGAGTGGAGTCAATGCTCTCTCTTGTGAATGTCAAACTGCTCGTCACAAAGTGCCGTCCTCTCCCCTTTCCCCCTCTTCAGCGCAGAGAAAAGCTCATGAATTGCACATGATTACTCTGTGAATAAAAGAGAAAGAAATGATGAAAGATCGGGAGCCACGAAGGAATGAAAGAGACGGAGAGGGTTGGATGCCTCCTGTAAGACGATGTGGGAGAAGTACTCAGATCCTTTTCTTGAGTAAAACTACCAATAACAAAGCACAAGTTTACTCTGTAATGTAATCATTGCATTCACAATTTCACCTATGTAAATGTACAAAAAATAATACTAAATGTACTCTAAAGCATGAAAAGTACTCTTTATGCAAAACTGCTGCATTTACTTTAGAGTATTATTAAAGATGAATTAATATGTAAGCAGTATTCTACTGTTGTAGTCTGTGGAGGTAATGCTGATTTAATTTACTTTATACACTGTTAGGCTGAGGTTTATAATTAATCAGTTTGCTCGCTGGCTTACAAGCTTACTTTATCTGAACGTGTGTGTGTGTGTGTGTGCGTGCCTGTGTGTGTGTGTGTGTGTGTGTGTGTTTGCAACACTCAGAGCAATATCTGTTGGACAGGAATGTTACTGTGTTAATAGCGCTCCCCTTGTTGCCTTTTGTCCACACATATTTGACCTCAATGTGTCTGAGTCGTGCAGCCACACCCTCAGTGGTTTCTTCAGTCACTCACTGACCTTATGTCCGTGTGTAATACAGCTCTGTGCCTGTCTTGTTGCTGTGTGTGTGTGTGTGTGTGTGTGTGTGTGTGTGTGTGTGTGCACCCGTTGAGTCACTGTTCCCCTGATAGAGATAACTGTGTGTCTCAGTCTGTCACTGCTCTGTCTGCCCACTAACCAGATTTGGAGGGTGACTGAGAAACATGGGTGTCCAGGGCAAGAGGTCATGTTGAGAGATGAGCTCTCAGACACACAGGCAACACTTTTGTTGCTGTTGGTAACAGTGAAGTGAGTGCGGGTGCTTGTTCCAGTCCCACTGAGCGATTTGCACTCATTTGTTCAGGAAGTACAGGCCAGATTTCCTGTTTCTCTGTGCCGACAATCCCCAAAGCTACCATTCAGAGGCGATGGGCTTGTAGCCAAGAGGCAACACCTACCAAAATATTCACGTAGGATGTTTGTGAGAGAGTATAGTCTGTTTCTATTAGTGGAAAGGACCATTTTACAACCGTAAAGCTGTCAATTAGACACATCACCAGCTACATATTTAACCATCATTCTCTTATTAGGAGAGAATATATTTATAGTTTTATTTATTGTTCCAGATGATCAGCAGTTATTTTTGCTCTATTAAAAGCGCAGCTTTGGAGGTGGCATGTGAGGAGGTGGGCACTGCATTCCAGCCGCATTGTCTATCAGGACAGCAGTCCGTGAGTCAAGTTAACACCAGAAGAGACTGTGAATATGTAGCAGACTGTACGAAACCAGATGTATATTAGTGCTGTCAGAAACCCTAACCACGAAGAAATCAGAGAAACAAACGTGCCCTGCAGCTTAAAAAGCTAATTTAACAACTTGTATTTAAATACAAGTTAGTTACAATAAATATTTTCAAGTGAAAAATGTGGAATGTTAAAAAATTAACTTAAAAAATAAATATTTATTCTGCCTGTTTGGTACAGTAACGTGTCACCTCACATTCCCTCAGAAAAAAAATCCAAAATATATATTTTAATTTTCATGTTACATACAAATAACATACTTGCCAATTGAGCGTCGACCCTTATGAACAGAGAATTTAATAGCATTTTTCTTAGTTTCCTGAAAAATGATGAAACCTATAATTCATACTGTGAACACAATGTTTTCAGCCTCCACATTTAATTAAGAACTTTCAACCACTCTAATGCTAATGGCACTTTTGGTTCCATTGGTTCCAGAGGCACTTTGCTAAATCGAATGACATTACATTTTGAAGAGTATGATACATCATGATAGTTTCTAAAATGTCTTAAATACTTTATTCTGTGCACTGTTTGTTTATTTGCTGAATGCTGCTGCCCAATGATATATAGTGGTATGATGTACACACATTTTCGTCCCTCAATTATCCTCTTCATCATTTTTCTGTTCACCATGATCATTATTCCATTTGAGTATTTTGCCCCACCTCCGACTGTCACAAGCTACATCAATTCAACACAAGGCTGAGAGATGTCAAATGGAAGGACGAAACAGACGAAGTGTCTATAGAGATTCGACTATTTTCAAACACGAACAATCTAAATGTTAACAGGAGTGTAACCGACATAGAGGAGCAGGAACAGATTTCCTGAAGTAACAGAGCGACTACGGGGGAGGTTTTTGAAGGCCAGGAGTCATGGCGCCGTCCTGCTCATTAATTAGTCTTTGTGGGTTGAGGGTAATTGGTTGACCGATTAGAAAATGACAAACGCAATGTTCTGCTTCTTGGTAATGGACCAAATAAAATCCTTAATTACAGCCAGATGCCCTTCATACAACCAAGCACAAAGACGCACACGAGCTGACTCCATTGATTTGTTTGACATATGAAGAAGCTTATTTAATATAGTTAAGAGATGAGTCCTTTCTTTGAATGTTTCATAACTGAGTTCTGAGTCTAACAACTTTATTTCTTGTCTGACTCTCAGTCTCCTCTCAGTCTCATTACGATCCTATATTTCTGTATTTAAGCTCGTCTGACTCTAAAGGCCCAAACCAATCAGAGTAAAGTGCCATCTGTGGAGCATTTTCTCCACAGCAGAAGAGATGATGATGGTCATAATGGGTTTGATCATGAATGATAGTTGGCAGTAATAGAATGATGCTTTTTTAACTGAATTTAAAGCAACTATAATTGGTATTTTTTATAACAACAATGGAGGGAAGGCTGAAATGACTAGGAACCCACAGAGAGTCATCTTGTGACTCTGCAGTTCTGCCGCGCTCTTTTTAGCTTCTTTCAGCTCTTTGTTTCGGTTTTCAAGTTCACCATTATCAACTTAAACGGTGATTAAATGTCAGCGTTGTGCCAGAAAATCCATTATTGCAGGATTTTAAAGTTTCAAAGAAGCTGGTCCCCGTTATAATTCTTATTCAGCAGCAGTATAAAACATTGACCTTGGAATTTCTAATGTTATTGCATAAAACGTAACCATAACCTTAACATCAGCTATGTTTGTTTGTTGTCTGAGTAGATAAAGTACGGATGGATGAGGAAATATTTTCTCCGTGAGAACATTCATTTTTGAGACAGGAGAGTGTTCCTGAAGTGTGTTTGCTCTTCTATCAGGTATGCACCGGCTGTTTCCTGCGGCTTTGAAAGAAATATTCACTTTTTTTGGAATAAGAATCACGAAGAAATAACAAAGAGAAAAATTCATCACTGACAGTAAAAAAAAAAGAAATCCTAACTTAAAAAAAATTCTCCCATTCTAAAATATTCTGCTCTGGCTCACTTTGCATTTAGTTTTGAGCATATCACATCGTCTTTCTGAAAATCTGACATACTGTATATGTATACACACACACAGAGACATGAAGAGATACTTATACAACACTCCACCACTTTGTCTCTCCACAGCTCAGTCAATAATATCAACTTGCTCCTCATGTGAGTCATCACTCTAAGTTATGATGTTAAGTGATCCATCTTGTCATCTGTACATGTCCTGAACGCTCTAACAAAACATTTCATGTCGGGGCAGTGGGAGCATCTGTTGTCCCTCATGGCCACCATTCAAAACCTTCTTTTTTTTTACCTTCTGAAGTTACAGCAGTGGATTCCAATCTCTATCACCTAATCCATCTCCTCATGCTCTCTCTCATCCGCTCTATTCTCTAATGCATACCCTAAAAAGGAGTGGAGGGTTAGGGTTAGGGTTGGATTTGGATGTGGGGTCGGGTCACAGAGGGGTATATACAGCACCCCATAACTTAACGAGGCTTATGGTCTCTGGTCTTGACCCTCTGTGGATGCTACCGTCTCCTCCTGTCCCCGTATTCTTTTCTACTTCTTTTTTTCCTCCTGACTGGAACCAAACATGGCCTTCAGACACTCAGGTAAAATAAAAAAAATAGAACTTGTGCCAATAAAGATGCTGAAATTAATATGTTATTGAATATGCTACGAGTAATCAGGTGCAACATGTAAAACCTGACTGCTATTGGCATGTTTCTATTCAAACTTCGGGAAGGATCGCCTTTGAACAGAATTTGTAAAACAATTGTTTATGAGCTCAACGTTTTATTGAGCTTTGTGACGATGAATGTTTAAATATTTAGCTTGAGAAATAGAATTTTCTCTACGAATAAAGGAACATTTAATCCTTCAGTTTATCTATTTTAACAACTTTAAAGATATATGTTTTTCACTGGAGAAGGATTCAGATTTGTTATATATGTGTTATACAATACAGAATGTCACAATGACACGTATAACAATATGTAACAATATAATCTAAGATCAAAGGTCCTCTCCGCTTTTTTTGATGTTTCGTTGATTTGTAACATATCAAATTGAACGGCTACACTGCTTGAATGTCCAAATCTTTTTCTGCGGTCAATTGAACTGAGTCATTGAATGTATGGTGTCATCTTGTAATAGAAATCTGGGGTCTTATATTTGGAGCTCTCTTCCATGTTTTATTTTTCTGATGCATGTTGGAGAAAGGCAAAAGAACGGGCAGTTCCAGGGTTTGCAATCTTCTCTATTCTTTTTGTTTTGCTGTATCTCAATGTTTTTTTGCTTCTCCAAAGCAGCGTGATAGCAAGATGTGATTATGTTAAAATGACCTGATTTTGCAGGAAACCTACTTTCAAGAGAGAACAGAGAGCTTTGACAGTGTAGCAGCTGAGTTGGCCGATATACTGTCTGGATCACTCTGTCTTTGATCATCTCACACGGCTCTGACTCACCCACCAATCTGGTCTCATGTTGACCTTTGTTTGCTCCCCAAAGGGACCACAGTGGTACAATCCGCTCCCCACCACAGCTCAGAGTCTGCACATACCATGCCTGTTGGACAGCTGGCAGCTGTCACTCTGTCTGTAACAAAAGATTAAAGTTACTGGGCGTGACTCAAGTGGAGCCACAATAGCTGCATAGTCCCAGCAGTCATCTCCATTTGTCCCCTCTGGAAGGTCAATCTGCTTTAAATAGAGAGTGCACGTCTAAAATAGATCTCTGGGCTGGCTAGGCTCAGAAATGAGACCGGATCATTGTGTGTGTGATTTGACAGTGTTGGACTTGGCCGCTGTAGTTCCATGAAGTGCTACAAGGTGAGTGTAGGCGGAGTGGGGGGCGTGTGAGGGCTCAGTCCAGCCTTTATCCCCGGAGCACAGCTGCAGATAGAAACTCCACACACAAACACCAGGGGCACATACCACGCTCCAGGAGGCTCATCCCTTTCACAGGCTGTTTACCACATCCCACTTAAATAGCTGAAGTCCCCTATCATAAATATTGTCCTTGTTCCTATGGTTACTTGGACAAAAATGCCATTCCACCCATTGTTTCCTCCATTTGTGCTTACCAGATTTAAAACTGATATATGAATCACTTTTGCTAAAGTTCACCGCTCAGCTGCCCTGCCTGACATCCTGTGTGTGAGAGAGAGATGTAGATAAAGCTTCCACTCACTCCACCCTACGCACAGCTGTTCCAGGAAGCTTCTCCGGCTGCTCCCACGTGGACGCCGCCTGTGATGGGAAAGCAGGAATGTTGATGAACGAAGTAGCAACAACTTTGTGTTGACACCGACAGCAAATAAAATGACCCCAGCCAAAATGCAGACAAACGAGAGAGTGTGGGCCAACTCAAAGAGGGAGGACTTCGAGGAGGAGAGGGGGGAATGAGCCAGACGGTCTAAAAAATATGACATCAGCTTTCCAGGGAGAGCTTTGTAAAAAGTCTGCAGGCCAAACAAGCACACAGACAACAAGCAGACATCTGTGGGCTGCTTTTTTTTAACTCCACTCACACGTCTCTCATCAGTTTGGAATGCTGCTGTTAGGGCTGCATATCACTGTCTTACTGACCCAGGAAAACATGTAGAAATGTACTTTGTCCAATTTTGAGGCACAGAGGTTAAAATTATAATCATTGAATGCTTATTTTAATCGTTTTTTGTTCCTTATTTCTTTTGTTCTGTTTTCTCTGAGCTGTACAGCACTTATAATTAACTAAATGGTGTTGTGATTGCGTTATGAATACATGTATTCATTGACTTGCATTGCTCAGGGAGTTGAGGATGATAGACAAGGCAACAGTGTCCCCATCTGGCAACATCCAGTCGTGTCGGAAGGACAGAAGCTGTGCGAGTCTGACGGGTCTGTTTTGTTTCCGCAGGTCACAAAAGTTATCTCACCTCCACCATGACTGATCGCTTCGACTGCTACTACTGCCGGGACAACCTGCACGGGAAGAAGTATGTGAAGAAGGACGAGAAGCATGTGTGCACCAAGTGCTTCAATAAGCTCTGCGCCAACACCTGTGCAGAGTGCAAACGCCCCATCGGCGCTGACTCCAAGGTGAAGCACAGTGTGTCTGAGATTGTGCGAGTGGAAGAAAAACAATGAATGAGTAAAGAAGGGAGTGACAACAGAAAAGTTAAAGTAGACGACAAAAATGAGAGCTAAAGTCGCTCTGTTTCATTTTGACAAATGACATCTTCTTCACCATTTAAAATCTGATAAACAGAAATATTTAAAAATGCAACAAACAGTATTTGATGTGTACATACATGAAGTGTACTTTAATTTCATGCTTTATATGGTAGCTAGTAAACTGCACTTGGAAACCAACGTATTATACAGTAAGCTACATTTATATTCATTAAAACCTCATGTTATTCGTCTCATGATTTAGTAATCATTTGATGTCTTTGTAGTTTCTCAGCAGTCAGTTTAGTTGTTTTCACAAGTCACTTTGTGATTGTTGTTTTTTGTGAAAATACCCAAAGATGCGTGTTCTGAAGATAGCAGATACAGCAAATGTACTTTGGGACACTGATTTTCACAAGATAACAAAAAAAACCTGTTTTTAGTTTTCAGATCATGCTTAATCCATAAATGAACACTTAACACTTATTAATTCAGTTTAGATCAAAAAAAAATTGAATAGCCAAATTTTGAGATAGATAGTTTTCATTGGACAGCAATGGGATGCCAAATAAACAACTGACCTAAAAATGTCTCAAAATGTTATACAACCTGTGTCTCATCCTGCAGTGGCGTCTGCTTCCAAAATACTCTCAGCACTCAGTCACAGCCGGTTGAATGTGTGAGGAAGATGTGTCATTACTACTGATGAGGCTCAAATACTTTATATCACATTTCCACCATCTAAGTCTCCTCACTGGAGCAGTTCACTTTATCTCCACTATCTTCCACACGGGCTTGTTCCTGTTCTGTATTCTGGCCCCGAGCCTAAATCCACGTGATTAGTAAACAGACTCCACTTTAATGAGGTCTGCATTAAAGTGACTTGGTGAGGGCACCCCTGCTCAACCCCGAGCTTCCTCTCTATGTTTCAGGAGCTGCACCACAAGAACCGCCACTGGCATGAGGACTGTTTCCGCTGTGCCAAGTGCTACAAGCCACTGGCCAGCGAGGCGTTCAACGCCCGGGATGACGGCAAGATAATGTGTGGCAAGTGTGGCTCCCGAGAGGATGGCAACCGGTGCCAGGGCTGCTACAAGGTGGTCATGCCAGGTGGGTTTTGCTATTACACTTTTCGCCATTGATCTCTCACTATGAGTGTTCTACATCAGCAAAGTGAGATGAGCTTTACTTGAGACATTTCTGTATTTGTATTTCTTACTGGTTTGAAGTGGGTGGGGCTCAATTGAAAAAAAAAAAAAATTGACGTTTGCCAATCAGGATTTCGGAGCATTTGAATCAAAATGATGATAAACGGCGGCTGTTTTGCTCATGTTAACAAACTGTCAGTTAAGTCTGATTGAAACAACAGCACAGTCCTGACGAGGCGGATTATCTGGGGATTTTTTGTAGCAGGATTTTCTTAAATGATGTTACATAAAGGTGTTGTCTCTGGTAGTTGCTTATTTATTCACTAATATTTAATGTTACAGAGAAATAAGTAGCATTTAAAAAAGGGGGCTTTACAGAAAGAAAAGTCTTGTAGAGCACGTTCTAGTGGAAAGAGGCCTTCTTAACATTCAACTTTCAGTTTATGTTTACTAAATCTGTGCAATCTTTTCTTACCTCTGATTCAATCTCTTCTTATATTGCTATTTCGCTATCTAAAAACATGATATTTCCCCCAATATAAGCATCATAAGGCCTTAATTACGATGTGGTACAAGCTGATGATAATGTCTGTGATAATGTCAGAGAGTGTGCAACAAAATAATTTCATAAACCATAACATTACTTTTTATGTTTGGGCTTTAGGATCCAAAAATGTGGAGTACAAAAACAAGGTGTGGCACGAGGAATGCTTCACCTGCTTCGAATGCAAGCAGCCGATCCGCTCGCAGAGCTTCCTGACCAAGGGGGAGGACATCTATTGCGCTCCCTGCCACGACAAGAAGTTTGCCAAAAAGTGCTTCCACTGCAAGCAGGTACAGGCAATGATTATGTATCATCCACAATAACACTGGGGTGCAGACAGTTTTAAGCATGAATGAATTAAATTACAGCCTTGTAGAGTTAGAGATCATGATCAGATTGTTCCTTTGTCCCTCTAAGCCCATTACCACCGGAGGGATCAGCTACCAGGACCAGCCCTGGCACTCCGAGTGTTTCGTGTGTCACACCTGCCGTAAAACTCTCGCTGGAGCTCGCTTCACTTCCCACGAGAACAATGTTTACTGCGTGGACTGCTTCAAGACCGATGTGGCCAAGAAGTGCCATGGATGCAAAAACCCAATCACAGGTCAGGGCAGCATCAACAAATGTTCTTGATTGTATGATCCACTGATTACTTTTTCATTAAATTATTATATAGATATGTCAATATCAACTTAAAACTTAAAATTCGGATTTAAGAACTCAATTTTGTCAGAATTGAAGGCCAGTTTGGGCTCCGTGTTGGGTCAGATGAGAGGACTGTTTTAAAAACGAGGTCTGTATTATGCTTCTGGGAGCATCATCGCCTGTCTTGCACGGCTGACTGACATATGTCCTTCTGTCTCTGTCTCTGCAGGGTTCGGCCACGGCACCAATGTGGTGAACTATGAAGGATTCTCCTGGCACGAGTATTGCTTCAACTGCAAGAAGTGCAGCCTCTCGCTGGCCAACAAGCGCTTTGTCATCAATGGAGATCATATCCACTGCCCTGACTGTGCTAAAAAGGTGTGAACTGCAAATTAGCTGTGCAGAGGATTCTGTTTAAAGTGGAATTACACCAAAACAGACCTTTTAGATGGTTCATTTGCAGAAGAACATATTTGATTGGTGAGGGAAATTGAGGCCTCAAAATTACAGAAAATGTGTGAGTTTGGATAAAAAAAAGTTAAAATGGTGAATTTTGGTGACGCTTCTCTTTTTAAGGTTGACCGAATATAGTTTGTTTCAACTAAATACGCACTAGTTTGAGTCATTTATCTACATATGCATTATTGCAACTTGTTTCGGTGTTGGATACTAACATGGCAACATCATTTATTTTGGGGGATTTTGATGTGTAACATTAGTCCAATCTGATCCAGAATCCTGTGCAGTTTTATGAGACAAAAGTATTTTCAGTGCCTTACTGGAATCTATCAGAGAATAATAGTTTTTTACATGCATACTGCTCCTCCTGCATACCAGCTTTCATTAATAATCTGTTGCATTCATGTTTGAATTGATTATAAGAATTCACAAAAATGCTTTGAGTGATTTTAAATTAGATCTTTGAGATTGATGCCAACATATAAACTGCTCATGTATTCAAGACTTTGAGTGAACACAAAAACAAGAATAAAAGAAGGAAGTGTAAAGTCTCTTATTTCTATATTTATGATATACTATAATTTGAGTTTTATAAGATTTTTAGACATATACTATGTGACATTTTATACCATAATATACAATTACATTTTTGTAACTTTTTTTTATGTTTTTCAATGTCTTGACTTTTTGAGAAACAATACTGACTTTTATGATTATTTAACAATGACTGTTATTGTTTTTTCTACATAATATATCATGAAATTAATCAAAATACTGTAATCTGACTTATGACTTTTGAGATCGACATACTATACCATGGCTTTTTTTGTGATTTTCCTCAACATACTGTTACGCCTCGTGGAAGCTCAGGAGAAACAGGACTCAAATGCACAACCCAGACAACAGGATGAGGTGTAGGTAAAACATACTTTACTGAGCAGCAGAGGTTCAGAACATGGGAAGTCAGTCAGAACAGGCAAACAAATCAGGCCAATCATGCAAAAACATAGTCGACAAAATACAGGCAGAGATCATGAAAACCAGGAGCACGACACTGGGAAAATTGCTGGAATGTTTGACCCAGAGGATGGAGATGAACGGGCACAGAGACAGGGGAACAGAGGGTTTAAATACACTAGGGAGGTGTAGGTAATTAGACACAGGTGGATTCAATCAGGGGCGGGGCAAACAATCACAGTGGTGGGTCTACACATGAAGGCAGGAAGTGAAGAACGAAAGAAGAGGTAAGTAACACAAAATCATGTTCTTTTATATGTTTTACTCCCTGATTTGAACATCTTTCAGGCTCTTTCCTCACAAGTTGAAAGGTAATTTCAAATAATCTATTTACCTGTTTTTGTCAAAACAGCTTTAATAACGAAATTAAATATGTTCGATGAATAAATCTATATAAAACAGTCTATGCTTGCATTCCTCTGCTTTAATGTGTTTTTATGTGCCATCATTTTTGTGTAAATGTATCAGGCTGAACACCCATTTGCCGTCCTTTGTTTACATCTCCGGCTTCCACTAGTAACCCCGTGTTTAACGTCACATTGCTATCAATTGTGGGTAATTCCCTCAGGCAGAGTCTGCAGACGTATGGAAAGTGTTCATAAAAGGCTCAAAATGTGGGACAGCCCTAAACCCCTCGTGGACTTTGCAGGAACGCGCATCAAAGTCTGAGTGTGGAGATTCGGGCCCGATCCCAATGTCCTCCTTCAAAGCTATAATATGTCCTTTACGTTATACTAAACTATAACTTATTTATGACTATTCCTGGCATTCTTTACTCGACATGCTATACTATGACTGTTTGAATTTTTTTCGACACACTATACTATGACATTTGTTTGATTTTTAAATTTGATTTTTTTAAATAAAAATGTTAATACATACTAACCTATGGCTTTTTTTAAATAAATGTTCATTAAATACTGTGACCTTTTTATACAATTGTTTTAATGACGTTTTTCATCACATACTATGACTTTTTTATGAAATGTATCATGACAGTGTACAATGGATTTTCATGACAAACTATAGACTTTTGTTTTTACTGCTTTTGTCAATATTTGATACCAACATGGCAACAGATTTCCTTTGGTGGGATTGTTATGTGCACTACTAGTTGAGTCTAGTTCTGTGTAGCTTCTTGAGACAAAAGTCTTTTCATTGCCTTACTGGAATCTATCAGAATAATATTCTCTTTACATGCATATTGCTGCTCATACATACTAACTTTCATTGTTAATCTGTTACAATCGTTTGAACTGTACTCGAGACTTTGTGAGTTAAGTTAAATGTAAAATGAGGAAGTGAAGGAAGTCTCTTATTTCTCTACAGCAAGAAAACATGGAAAAAGAGCATCTTTGCAAGACTTTATTTGTATTAACAGTTTGTATCATCTCAGTACACTTAATATATATTTACAGTACACATTTTAATCGTGGACAGGGCATTGTTAGGTCTGTAAACCCTCCAGAAAAACATTCACTTAGCTGGATAGACTTGATTGTCGAGGCCGAGGTAAGGAAAAGCTTTCTCAGTTAACTGTGATACAATAAAAATACTAAATATCATTCTAAGGCACCGTTCTATCCTATTGTTAAAGACAAAGTTGAGGACTTAAAGCAGTCAGCTCTGTACTCGAGCCCTCGAAGATACAGCAGGATCTGGAAGAGATACAGTATCCGTTCAAGCAGCAGCTACAACAGCCCCCCCCCCAGCAGGTGCTACTCGAGTGGAAAGATGAGTAGGAAGGGTTTGGGGGGGAATTTGGATGTAGGCAAGTTTGGGATACTAATGGGACTTCTAAAACATCTGGTAAGGAACAAATGACTTATTTTCTTCCAGAATATCACGCAACTCTCCTACGATTCTCTACAGTAAAATGACTCCTCAGAAACCATTCTTTAAACATAGCGAGTCATGTGTGACAGTGCAAAGAGTATCGTGTTCTCTAAATGAGTAATGAAGGAAAGCCAAAAGGCGGGCAGCTCTGAGAGACATGGTGAATAATGAAGGACGGTGTATGGAGTCTGTTACATTCTTTGAGCTTATTAATCAAAGCGAAGATCGAAAGCTCCAAGACAGTCATGTACAAAGAGATTTTAGTTAGACAGCAGAGAACAAGGCAAAAATAAAAAGGTCCCTAAACCTCGTGCTCGGACTGTTCAAGCATCGGGTATTCAAGATTTAAATTCAGTTCATGAAGAGCAGTCTGACCTGTGTCATATTTAGTTTGATGCATGCGCCCCGCCTCATCCTACAAAGAATAGATAAAACCCCATCTGATATGCCAACCATAAGTATCCCCACCAACAGCATCCCCACAAACCCTGTGACACCATATAAAACCTATCTGAGGACATTAAAAGTGTTGTTAAGAGGCACAGCCATGACTTTGTTCATGGGTCAGACGTGTTGCTGAGGGCTGTAACAACTGGCCATCAAAATGTTAATGTGTTTAGTTTCTGTGAGGCAATATTCACAATCAGGGCGTAGGTATATGGGGTTGAAAGCACGCACGCACACGCACGCGCACGCACACACACGCACACGTTGAGAAACGTTTAGTGGCCCATTTCTTTTGCAGAGCTCATGTGGAAGAGGGCTTTATGTTAATTTTTCCAGGCTGCCCAAACGTAACCTGACAACCCCGTCACAGGGCACGAGTCGAAACCGAAAGCTAACACAGTATAGCACGGTCACATACACAGAGACTTCAATTATCCACATCCTGACGCCACTTCATCCTAAACATGGCTTCTTTTGCCTAATACTGATTATATACACACACACAATACAATGACACTTAAATATATGTAGAAATGTATTTTCATATGTAAACAAAACAAGCCAAATTTTATATTATTAAAAAAAAAAAAGAAAAAAAAAAAAAAAAAAAAAAAAAAAAAAAAAAAAAAAAAAAAAAAAGAATTGAAATGCATTCAGTTGATGGGATAGTTAATGGGAAATAAATGTAACTGATGAAAGAGCCTCACGGAGAGAACGACGGATGGAAACGTGCGCGTGGATGTGTCGGTAAAGCTTAAATTAAATCCAGAAAATTGAAAATGTTTAGTTTCAGGCTAACCTTCATGTTCTGTTCAGTAACAAACACAGACCGCCTTAAGAAGTTCAGAAACAGCTGTGAATGACTTCACCCGTTAAGGTGGTATGTTGCAGTTGTGGTGGTTCAAACAGGTGTGTGGTGCAGATGCAGTCAGTGGAGACAAACTCTATATACATATGTAAAAACTTAAACGAGCCCTACGTGAACAAACTGCAGAAACTTCACTGAACATGTGAATTCACTGGTGTTGTGAAGGAATCTCAACACTCTTCAGCTTCAAATGTAACAGTTGGGAGTTGTGTTTCCGATGCCCTCTAGTGGCCAAAGAAGCAAACGCATGGCGAGAGAAGCCGGGAGACGGAGAAATGGGTCTGAAGTGAAGTACGAATACAGAATCCACTCCCAAGCGTAAGCGCATGACAGAGGATCGCTAAACGGTGCGTGTATGAGCTTCAGCACAATTCAGCATATGATGCACTTTAAATTAGACGTTAGGGAACAAAATGCTAAGGCCATATTGCTGGATGCTGCTCAAAGCAGCCGGTCAAGTAAATTTAGATGAATCACGTGCGAAACTTGGGACGCTCTCCTCACCGAACCCCAGACAGAACACAATGTATCAACGCTCCTTCCTTTAACTCGCGCTGTTCAATTCACACAGACAGATGTGCACGTGTCCTGGAATATTCTCATACAAGAGAAAACAAAAAAAGACTAAACATAGAACAATAATTACAATAACAAAGAAGCCAAAATTAATAAATTACATCAAATGCACCCCTGACAAAGACAGAACTCTTAAAAAACATCATCAAATTTTGGACACGAAACGGAAAAACAAAAAAATGAACACAAGAGGAAGAGGAAAGAGACCTGAAGCAAGCATGTTGATGGAATATATGGAATTTCCCTGAAGCATAACTTTTTATTTCTTTTTTTTATATATATATATATATATATATATATACACATACACACACACACGTTTCCTCATCATGTGGGGTGCAAATGTAGCACTTGGGGATGGTCTTTCCGCTTCACCTTGTGCTCCTCCTTCAGGAGGAGGAGGAGGAGAAAGAGGAGGAAGCTGTTGGGGACTGATACGGGACATCTTCTAAAGGAGCTCAGCTAGACAGGAACTTTACGAGTGCAACAGTAAGAGGCTTCTCAGCAACGGCTGCAGCATCAAATCTCTACAGAAACACAGGAAACATGAGTTACGGTCTTTAAGGAGATTATATCAGAGAGTATACGTTCCAGTTCGGTGAATAAGTGTAAGTGTCTCCTCACCTGAAAGGGCTTCTATGGGTTGACTAGAGGAATGCAGGGTGTTGACGGGGGTTCCCTTGTCCTCGAAGGCTACCCTGGTCCCGTCTGAGCTCCCGTCACAGTTGATCAAGACCTGGTTACAGTCCTCCGCCTTGATGAGGGGCAGAGCCTTAGAGTGGACGTTGAGGTCAATGAGTTCCTCAAAGCTCCACTGGTTGGATTTCCCATTGAGACCCGAAACCAAGTCCACCTTGGCGGAGTCCTGCTCATTCAGGAACTCCGAGCCCTCGACGAGGCGGCTCTTAGGGACTGGACTGGAGAGGTCAGGGGAGGAAGGAAAGAGGTGAATGGTTAGGTAAGTGAATAAGAGATTTCTCTAAAAGGAAACAGCTAACCATGTGTTAGTCCGTCTCAGTTCCAGGCCCAATCTTTCATACGTCGTTATGGTTTCTCTCGTCATACCTTCCTGCCTGAGTCTCAGCTGTGCTTATGCCGTTGTTGTTCTCCTTGTCGTCCATCTCTGGTTTCCCGTTCACGCTGCCCAGGGGCTCCTCTCTTTGTGCCTCCGGCTCACCAGAGGACAGACCACTCTCGTCTTTGTCGTCCTCCTCGGCGATGTCATCCGACTGGCCTACGACGTCAACGGAGGAAACGGAATTGAATGTCAAAAAAAAGGTCACGTTGAGAATTTAGTAAACCCATGTATGTAAAGTGTATGCAAACAAAGACAAAGAGGAGACGACACACCTTTACTCTCTGTGACAAAGCAGCACATTCATAAATGCGGTGATGCATGACTCTTCTAAACCTGCCGTCTGTGTGAGAGCTAAAGGACGGGAACACTTACTCTGGGTTTCACAGTCCTCTCCCTCCTCTCCTTCCTCTCCTTCCTCCTGTTTATCGTCATCTCCTGCATCGCCCTACGCAGGACACACAAACAACGCGTTAACACACACACTCAGTGTCGACGATGAGGCTGAATGAATGTGCGCTCACCTTCATGTCACATTGGTCCCCTTTTCTTGTTCTTTTCATTATTTCTTCAATTCTCTGAAATGGAAAAAAGCATTTTTTTTTTTTTTATAATGTTTCGTTGAGATCTACACAATGAGGGAACACTAAAAGTGTTTATACGGTCATTGAATAAATCATTTAAAAAGAAGATTCATCAGTCTGTCCGTACCTTCTTCCTCTCCATGCGTTCTTGCTGGTTCTGCTGCATGACGCGCTCTCTCTCCACACGGACTCTCTCTGCCTCCTCCAGGGCCTTGGCCTCAGCCTCCTCCCGTTCCTTCTGGAGCTCGGCCTGCTTCACCGCCTCCTCTTCGGCCATTCTCACCCGCTCCTCCTCCGCTAGGAGAGCATCTTCCTCGTCTTTGATTTTCCTCTCCTCTGCGAGCTTCTCCTCCTCCACCAAGCGCTTCAGTCGAGCCTCCTCCGCTAAACGCATCTCTTCCTCCTTTCTCAGCCTGCGATAGTAAAGAAACAGCCGTGAATGGCTTGAAGGCATACAAAATGACGACAGAATTGTAAAAGATTGTGTTTTTAAGATTCACTGAACAATTTAAAATAATCTTACTTCTCCTCTTCTTCCCTCTGTACCCTGAGCAGCTCCTCTCTCTCTTTCTGCTCTCGCATGAGTCGGCGATTCTCCGCCAGAATCTTGGCTGCCTCGGCGGCTGTGTTGCTGCCCGTCGAGGCTTTAGGGTCTGACGGGTGGGAAGACAAATATCGAAAATCTCTTTAGCACTTTATGTCGCTCTTTCACCCATTTCTCAATGTAGTGCTGACCCGAGGCCACAGCATCTGCCCCACCATAGGACGCAGAGTGACTGATGACAGAGGAGAGGAAGCCAGACTGGAGGAGGTTAGTCGTGATAGAGGAGGACAGGGGGCAGAATAACGAGCCTTTCACATGATCATCTCTGTGCTCTTTGAAAGAACACCGTGGGAATACAGTCACAGTTCAGCAATTATCCCGTGTATTAGTAAATGTTGCATATCGATGAGCAGGACTGCCACACATGAAAATATTGTGATTTCTATCAGATTTTTGTCTCACAGTCAGACATTCATTTAATTTTAATGAATCAAAAACATTACACAACTTATGAATATACCTTTTCATACACTCCTAAACATAAATGGTTTACACCTAAACTGTGTCACCTACCTTTTATTTTTTACATCTTTCTAATGCACAGTTGCATAAAGTAATAAAGCATTACTAAGCCGTTTTATCTTGCAGATCATGCTTCTCTCCAGGAGGTGGCAGCAGCAACAACCCCGGGTCTGTAACAGGATGTGACTCCAGATGGAACTTAATGTCTCCTGCTCCACTGAGATTTATTGCAACCTAAGCTGGCACGCAAACATACGCAAACATGCGCGCACACACGCGTGCGCACACACAGGCTCGCGCACGCATGCACACGTGTGTCAAGTCAATGTGCTGCTGTGAGAGCGAGAGCTCTAAAAGGATTTAAGGACTGATCATTTGTTTCTGATTGCCATTAAGTGGCTAAGTTAGCTAAAATTACAAAAAAGACGATTTTGAAAATAAAATGAGAGCAATATTCTTATGTACAACATTATGTTTGGTTAAGCAAAGAAGATTGTTTCCTCCTTCTATTCCTTTTTTGCACTCCCTTAGTTCAGTATGTATAACAATGAGCACCCAATGTTCAAAGGTGATCCTGTGGATCAAGATGTGCTTCAGTAACAAGTCCACTAAGATATTACTTTGAGCCAAATAAGATAAGATAAGCTAGATAAGAGGAAATTGATGTCTAGCTGGGTCACTTCCCTCCATGAAACAGACGCCATGGCCCGATGATCTAGTGCAAACATCCTTGTTGCCAGAACAACAATCAGCCTTGGCAAATATTGGTACCGACTTATTAAAATCTGTCAGCCTGCCTTTATATGGACCTGCTTTACATGTCTGTTTTACCATCATGAAAGACCCTCTATAGTGTCAGATATATTTGAATGAGGTGCAGTAAAACATGTATATTGTGGACTATCATTGCTCACCATCTTTCTCTTTGGTCTTGTTGGAATCAGAGGACTGTGGAGACATAGCCTGGACAGGACACAGATCCTTGGACTTGGAGTCCCTCTTTCGCAAGGTGGGGGGCCCTGTTGGAGTGAGAGCTGGTTTCTGGATAGGTGGAGGTTTGGCCGACGTAGGCTGGGGGGATGGGGGGCGTTGTTTCATTGCACCCGGTGAGGGTGGGCGTGTCCTGGAACTTTGCCTGTCAGAACAAAGTGTGAGTTGCGTCCATGTGTGTTTTAAAATTAAAGCAAAAATGAAAGGCTGCATTCAAACTCTTAAAACACTTGAAGCAAAATATCACTAAATCGCTAAAGTTGTGTTGGATAAGACTTGTGGTCTTACTTGGGTACTGTTGGGGAGGGCGTCCTCTTTGGGGCTGGGTTGGGGGCTGGGGAGGGCGTCCTCTTCGGGGCTGGGTTGGGGGCGGGGGAGGGTGAACGGTTGCGTCCCAGGGTGGAAGATGGAGAGGAGGGACGTTGCCCTCCAGGTGATGTAAACTGCTTGTCCTTCTGTCGTCCCACAGAGAAGGGACAGACGTGAAGAAGTCAGTCATGACCATCACTGAACAAGGATCATGCTAGCAACTCCTTACAAATACCCGCAGCTATAATCATTGTTCATTTAAATATCACTGCATCAGAAATGGTTGTAAATCAAGTTGTACCGACATTAAAAAAGGGTCAGTTAGAGACGGAAAAGAAAAGCAGGACAGTGAACAGGCAATTGGTGTACAGTTTCACAACTGGGACAAGACATTCGTTTCCTGTTTATGTAAATATAGCATTGGAGCAATACAGTGTCTTTGTATGAAGGAGAGGTCCAGAAGTCACCTCAAAGACACCCACAACAGTAACTTTACTATAGCCCCATTGAAGCGAGGCGGCTTAACGCATCCAACTTAAAAACACAATTTAATCAAAGTGTCTCGAGTGATAAGCTGTGAATTTCAATTATCTACAAAGAAATCTGTGCGAGTGGAGGAGAGAGGACAATGACATGGTGAGACTTTTTTGATGGCATTAGGCCCCAGGGTCAGGGTGGGTCGGACTATAATCAGGCCATTGTTGACCCCTTTGTCTCATGCTACGACAATGAAGGCCTTCAGTCATAGAGGACAGGCAGAGAGAGAGAGAGAGAGAGACAGAGAGAAAGAAATAGAGAGACAGAGAGAGAGAGAAAGACAGAGCGAGAGAGAGAGACACTACAGGCCACCAAGTGAGAACATCCGAGACATCACTTATGAGTGTTAGCATGTTGGCGATGTATCAACAAGTTCATATTATGAGTGAACAGCAAAGGTCAGAGAACAGCCGGAGGAGCAACATTTCCCTCTGCTTAGCATCCTGCAGAAGTACTTTGACAGGCAAATAACCGGATATGCGCTTATAAATCTGTCCGTCTGGGTCTTTGGTGGCGTCTGCTTATTTCTCCGAGCGGCCATTTAAATGCAGGAAAGACTGAACTTGTTCTCACTAGTTAAGACGTCTGTGTGCCGTCAAATCATGCGTCCACTATTAAAATGTTTTTATAGTCCATCCGTATTTTCTGAGTCAAATTCAAATACTTTCCCATGGAAATAAAATCAAACTTTAGCCAAAATTAAAAGGCAACATGGTTTTACAAACACAGCACGACATTATACATTTTACTGTGTAATCTCTGAATTCTGTTCCCTAACAGTTTGATTTACAGTGTGGAACTTATTCCTGCAACCAGAATATCATTCTCATTGCTCCACACATCTCACTTAAATAATATTGTTACCAGTCTGTAGTTTGAAAATAGACAAGATTGGAAACTCTCATATACTCACATAGGCATATAATAAATACTTATTAATGAGGATACAAAAACACAGCTTATGGAGAAGGGCACAGGAATGACGTTCACTAAGCTTTCACTTAAGATCATTAAGAGCATTACACACGTCTTCTTGTAAATGTCAGATTCTGGCCAGTGGTGTTAGTAGCGTTAACTCACCATTGAGGGGTCGAGGGCTCCGTCGGCAGACACGGAGGTGGTCATGCCGCTCTTCTGTCGGTCGATGCTGCGGCTGCGCACAGGCCCCCGCGGTAGGACCAGGGGAGTGGCCGAAGCTGAGCGAGGACACAGGTGACACTCTGGTAAAGGACACAGTCATTGCACGGCCATGGGAGCATAACCAACGGGAGGCGGGATAAGCGGCCGAGGTGGGCAGCAAAGCAGCAAAGAAAATAAGAATAAAAGACAGTGGAGGGAAAAAGAGAGGGAGGAAGGGAGGGCAGATGATGGGTGAAAGAAATGAAGGAGAGTGATTTGTAAGGGGACAAGAGCACAAAAACAAAAGGCGAGTTGTTAGAAATAGCATTTTAGGCAGGCAACAGCTTGATTTCTGAAGCTTTGATTGAGCTGGAGATTACAGAAGACAAGAGGAGCAGAGAGCAACAATCTCACAAACAAACCCAGACACTCCACAGGTACCAAAGCTTCTGGACACAACATGAACACACAACCGAACACCAAGAACCACAGCACACACTACACAAAACCTACCACAAACACCGAGACGGCAAACACATATCACACAGATGTATTAGTACACTAAACGCACAAAGAATGTTGATCGTGTTTGTTTTGTTTTGTTTAGTATCGGTAACTAAAAAAGGAGAGTTTGCAATCTTTCAGTCCTTCCTGACATTATAAGTTAACTCTCCAGACTCTAGATTGGACATTGAATGCAACATCTGCTGTTGTTTCAGGACAAAACTGCCTCTGGCATAAGCATTGCTTTACAATATCTTAAGACTTCCACACACAAACAAATCTCAAATTGTAATCAGGACCACCGGATCCAAACTGTTGATGCTGAGCTGCTGTGTCGTGTAGCCTGTAGGCAGTACGGATAGTAAAGACTGTTGTCCAGTAGCTGTGTCAGATGGAGGGATTAGGCATGATAATCCTGAGACCTGAGGAACTGCCACTGCCACTCCCTGCCACTGCCTGCTCACAAATGGGTTTTTGTTATTCATTCGGACCACTGACCAGCTATGTTGACTGTGAAACGTATCCTGCCATGAGCTACCGCTGCTGCTGCTGCTGCTGCTGTGTCGTGTTTCTACTGGGGCCATACTTAGCAGAAGATCTATAGCCGCTAATGGGTTTGTAATGGCCGGTCAATAAACACACCACAACCTAAAACCAACACGGGGAATACAGCTGCAGTCTTTACAGTATGCCGAGTCTCGGACTATGTATATCCATAATCTCTGCCTTAAATACCGTAGCCCAAAATCTAATGCCAGAATGGGGACATCCTGAGATTGAATAGTGCGACATCAAGCCGATATATCCCACAGATATGCCAGTAATGGAGCCCCCAGCACTCTGGTCTCACTACCAGAACACATGCAGTGGCACAACGGTCTCATTCTGACGTAACGAGAACCAACAGGTAAGCAGCTTAGAGCAAATCTCCCAGCATGGTCCCTGAGGCTCCTCAAACGCAGAGAAACGCTCCCGGCCAAGTCTGCCCCGCTCGGCTCGGCTCAGCACACAACAGCCAATTGTGTAAGAATGCATGTGAGCTGGACCTGTGTGTGTGTGTGTCAATATTTACTGAGTAACTATGCTCTCTCACATGAGTGTACTTTGCTGTACTGTACATAACATAAAACAGCTGATCGTTACAATAGCCGCTTTTAAACACTTTGGTAATTCCACCACCACTGCCGCCGAGAGGCCACTGTTAACTTTGAGAGGATTGTTTCTAAAGCAGAAGGGCGCTGGGTTGACTTCTACTGATAAACCGAGGGAGAGTAGGGAGGACCGGGTTCTGTGTCTAGCCATCCTTCCTCTTTGTCGGGGTTTCAGAGGTTACCTGGAGCGTTTGTTCCTTCAGCTGACAGGGCGGCGGCGCTCTTGCTCCTAGCTAGTGAGGCCTGGGTGGGGCTGAGCAGGCGACTAAGAACCCCTCCGTCCACAGGGCCAGCCGGTGGCCTGCGAGCTACACGGCCCGAAAAGTCACCCGAAAAAAAAAACAGAGGAGAACAAAAGAGGCCAAGAAGGAAAGAGTGGATGAGAATGGGGGGGGTGAAGGCAAAACAGGGGGGGGGGGGGCAATGAAGTTCAGAAAGGTCACCATGTGATTTAACCAACAGGAGAGAATCAACATCAACAAGCAAAGGTCACGTCTCAGTAATCTTACATGGGCTCCAACTGTCTGTAATCTGTTAACTTTCAGTGATGTTCAATAAAGTGAGGATCGTCGGTGAGAGACGGTAAGGAAAGGATGCCATGGAAAAGTGCTGAGACAGACCAAATACTGATTGTCTGGTAACTGAAGATCAGTTAGAACAGTGGTCAAAGTAGACAATAAGGTCAAATCAATGGTCCCTGGAGGTAGAGGGAGGTGTGCTGATGGGAAAAACAATCCATTAGTGACCGTCAAAGACGACAGAGGAGTACGATTGGGTAGGAAGATGAGAAGTGAAACAAAACTAAAAGTGACTGTGACCGGGCAATAGTTCTTCAGCTTCTGCAGTGCAAACTGCTCTATAGTTAACATGAAGAAGGTGGCACATTTGATGAAAAAAAACAAGGAGGCTGACTGCAATGGTGATGATATCATGAAAGCACCTATGGTGAAACAAAGATCTCTTGCTTCCATGAAATGAAAGAATTAACAATTCCCCATTTAGTCCGTTGTTGATATCCCCGTGTACAAGGAGGAAATCACCCAAGAAGAAGAGTTCAAGTGTTTCTGTAAATGCTAGCTCTTCAAACGGAGAGTACAGAGTCACACACTTCCCTTTGGAGCTGTTATTGAGAAGACATCTGTTGCAGACAGACTTGTTTGTTAGCTGCTGAGTGCTCACCCTTGGGGCATGGCGGCATGCTCTGTACCCAGGTATTAGGAACCTGGGGTATTCGTCTGAGTTAAGGTTATAGTTGTGCTCTATTATTTAAGGTATTTTAGCTGATGGGATGTATTAAGTCAGTTTGAATGACGGTAGCTGTGTTGTATTATTGTCTACAGAAAAAACATGTATACAGAACAGGAACAATTTTACAGCCGATCTTCCGAACAAATGCCGACATCGCTACAGGACAAACAAAGCGTCGGTGGTTAACGGCGATACACAGACTGCAGGGAGGGGGTGACGGTGCTCCGGGGGTGCTGTGGTGGGATGGCACTGCCACACACCACACCGAAGCACGAGCCTAGTGACTTAATCAAGTTACGACGTCATCTTGGAAGGAGAAAACAATCAACACTTTGTGACAACAATACAATACACTGTGTTAGTGCAGACACGGCACACAACAAAACCATTCCTGGGTTGTCATTTGAAAAGAAAACAATAAAAAAAATAAATGGTTAAAACAAGATGAGGAACATAGCACAGTGCAGGATCTGGTGGGTTAAGACAGCAGAAAGGTTAAGGCACACATGGAAGGAGCACAATGTTCCCAGTAAATCACAGACATACGACACGTTAGAGAGGCTTAGCAGCTGCCTGGGGGTAAGTCAGAGTGAGTGAGCAAGACTTAATTAGAAGGGAACGTAGATGGAAGGAACACGTAGAAAGAAGAGTTGGCCGGTTTATAAACCCATATAGCTGATGACACTGAAATGAGCTCAAGCGTTTATCCCCGAAACCTCTTAGTCGCCGACAGAGTTGATGGGGTTTTAAAAGCCAATTCAGAATGAGCGAGCAGCTAACGTCATAGCAGCATGCTTGTTAATAACAACGGAGGCCTGAGTGATGCAGATAGAGGCATGACAACACAGATTTCCGATTGTTCATGCTAGCCACCTTGATCTTCCGTTGACGCCTTATCGGGCTTGGCCGGGGTCTGTGCTCTGCCCTCACTTACTCGTGAGTGGGAGGAACTTCTCTTCTTGACAGAACGGCCTACGGACATGAAAGTGGGAGTTACAGCCGAGCAGGCGCTGGAAAGGAGTCAACAAGGAATCCCCAAAGACAGTTTTACAAGGCATGTGCACTTCATTTGGCCTTATGCGAGTCACCAGGCCGGGGCAGACAGCAGCTGATGTGACGTGTAACAGACTAAGTACACAGAGGAGAGTTCCAACTGCCCAATCGGATAATAATCCAGGTAAACCATTAGCATGTACAAAGAAAAAATGCTATGTGGTTGTCATAGCTGAGATAGATCTTATCTTATAATGGAACTTGTTGAATATTTGCTCTATATCTGGTTTGCTAAACTGTGCACAGTACCCCATCTGTAATATGAAAGCATAGTGTTGGATGGAGAGCGGATCTTTGGCACCTGTCTGTTCCACCTGAAGCTTTTTGACATCTTCCTTACTGGCCTGAGCAGCATTGTTAGGCAACCGATTACAAGACGAACTCCTCGGCTTAACACCTGAGAGACAACGATGAAACACCTCATGATGAATTTACAAGGCGCTCCTCTTCGATGAACGGTACAAAGTTTCTTTTTTAGAATATATTCATAGGCCTAGGAAAGGAAAAGCATGAATATTAAACATGTCGAGAGAAATAGAGCAATCAACGATATCAGAAAGAAGAAATGGCACTGGCAACCCATAGAAGCTGTGGAGAAATATGAATCAACCGATTGTGTTGATTAGTTTTTCATAAGTCCTGTGAATCAAAATGCTTTTAATGTTGTGACAAGCTTCTATTGCACTATGAGCAAATGTATAATCTAATCACTATGTGGTGCGTGGGACCTCTTATGATTCTGAAAATGTAATCCAGTGCTTCATAGAGGTGCGTGGTGAATGGATTGAGAGGCCATGCTACTTCAGAATTAGCTGGAACCAGAGAGCTCAAGCACTTGTTACCAGTCTGTCAGCGCTCCAGTGAGTCTGCGTTTAAAGCCCTGGATGTGGAGAGCACAGAGGTCAGAGTTCACTCCGGGCTTAAGAGTTACAAGAGAAAGTAGGGTTACTCCAGATCATCTAGTTGGTCACCTGGTAGATCTCAGGACATTATTCATCAGAGTAACACATTTACCTGAATGATAATAGACTACGTCGGTTAAGAAACAGCACAGAAATCCAAGGAGGGTAGGAGGAAGGGAGGGGGAGAAGGAGCCTATGAGGAGGGGAGGAAGGGGGGAGGGGGGAGGGAAGAGAGGAGACTTACGTTTGTCGGGAGATTTGATAAGGGTGGCAGAGGAGGTGGATAGGCGTTTGCTGATGCCAGCCTCAGACGGCTGTTTCAGGTTCATGGTGGACGTGGAGCGCTTGTCCACTGAGAGGGAGGAGGAGAGACAGACAAGGGAGGCGGGGTTTACACTGGAGCTTGGCCAATGGAGGAGGGCATTTGGGTGCACACAAGGGAGTACAAGGTTCTGCAAGATCCTAATATGTAAAGGGTGATATGCTGCTTCATTAATATACCTAAAATAAAATACATAAACACAAAACACACTGGTAAAGTTTCCCCGTTAACCCAAGTGCTACTAAAGCAGTGCACATTTAGTGGCGCACTCTTAGCAAATACACATGATATACAACATGAATTTGCTGTTAAATATCATGTTTAAAATGACAATGTTCATTTTCAACAAACCATAACAAAGTCGTTGTTGTTTTAGAGGCAGGCACGGTGGTTAGTAAACAACAGAAGCTCATTTTTTGACCACTCCAGAGAGGAGAGCATCACCAACATCACATGAATGCGTGCCAGAGAATCCAACGGTGATATAAGTCCTGTTTATTTCATGTGCCAGTCAATCGGCCTTCCATGCAAAATCACCCATGTGACCTGGAAGTGCTCGACAGTGTGAGTGAGTGAACAACCTGAAGCTACACTTGCAGCTAGTCACCCAGCACAAGGCACGTTAAGAACATCGGCCCCATACGAACACCGTTAGTGAGAAGCTTCCAGTTAGACTGCGGGGGGGGGGGGGGGGGGGGGGGGCGGTGGGGCATTCTATCTAGAGTGCCAGTGCCAGTCCATGCTACATTGGTGAGCAAATGATCAACAAACAAAACCTTGTCGACTCTTCAGTGGCTTTTCTGGCGAGGCAGGGGAGACAACTATAGTTACTGGAGACGAAGTGCCGGCATCAGAGTCTCCTGTGGGGGAAAAGAGAGCTCCCAGAGAGGAGCAATAGAGTACAACATGCTGAGAAACATCCTTCACATAAGGAGGGAGACAAGAGCCTGGCTGACACCCAGTCCCTACAGCAGTAAGTATGCTGACCTCAGTTGGTGCCTCGACAATATAAACAACCTATAATTTAAAATGACCCATGTATTTGTGGTTTATTGCTTGAGTGTCAAATAGTGGGAGTGATTGTACGAAGGGGTCAAGTGATCTCACGTGTAGTGGTGAGAGAGCTCCACAGACTAGTAACAATTGCCGTTTACATTACAGCTTCAGATCTCAGTACATTAATTGGATTTTATGAGTTGACTTTACTGCACGACAAAACAGGGTTTGCATAACTGCGGACAGCCAACATTATCCGACAGTACTGTTATCTGATTATATATCATATTTTGACTTTAACTAAATTAGATTGTTGAAAAAAAGATTGTTGAAAGCTCTCTACTTTTACAGTCTGAAAAGGGGCCTTTTTATTTCTGGGGGGGGGGTTCAGATTTTGAGCTATTAACCAGAAGATCTTAATAAAATGATGTGCAATGTATAAATGCTTGACTGATAACAAGGCTGAGCTCTTATGGCTGACCCTGAAAATTACTTAAAGCAGCCGAAGTTCTCTCACGCGTAGCTCCCAAGCTTATAGCAGCTAGTTATCGTGGAGGAACACAATCACACTATATCTGTGAATAACAAAAACAGATGGAACTGCGCTTCCACCTGAATATGTATCAATACCGGCTTGAGTGTCATCTGGCATTATCATCAGGCAAAAATAGCTTCATATTGCTTTCATGTGCATTGTGGCTGGAACCACTTTCATGTCTTGTTTTGAATAAAGATGAAGAAGTGGCCTCTACCTGTCCGCCCATCTGAGTCTGTGGCCAGTCCTCCCCAGGACCATCGTTTCTGCCTCTGCTCCACTCGCTGACTCCGCTCTAACGTCCGCCGCATCATCGCCTCGTAGTGCTCCTGCAGCGTTACAGGGGCAGGCGGAGAGAGAAATGCAAGTCATTTAAAGCAGGGCGACACGTAAACCTGTGTTTCTATGTTAACTCAATTTGTTAAGTCAAGAGAGTCAAATCAACCAACAGCTGTGAGGCGCTTGAGACTCCCTCCGTTACCTTTTCCTCTTCCTGTTTCTGTTTCCTCTTCTCCTCCACAGCCAGTCGCTTCTGCTCCTCCTTTCTTCGCTGGTCATCAACCTTTTTCTGACGCTCCTCCACTTGACGCTCCACTTGCATCTTGGCCTTGCGCTCCCGCTCCATGACCTGAGAGTCTTTCAAAACTGCAGGTGCAGAAAAACAACAACAAAAAAGTAACTTCTTAGCATGTTGTCTTAAGCTTGGGCTACAATAACTTCACACAGAAGAAACGGGGACCACGCCCTTACCCTGTTGTCTCTCTGCCTCCTCCCGCCTCTCTTTTGCCACTCGCAGCCGGTCGTCTATTCTAAGAGCAGCACCGTCAATGACTGCAACACATGTGTACATGTGTATATGTGGTTAAAAGATATAACATATAAAGCAATGCTTATTCGGAGAACAAAAGGTGGGGGGGGGGGGGAATTACAATGCAGGATAGTGTTACAAGAGCATGACGTGTGACCGTCATTGAAGAGCTTTGTCAATGGTTACAGTAATAAGATGATGACTACGGATTACCTGCAGTAAGCTATACTGACAGGGTGGTGGAAGTGGATTGTCTTGCATCTAATGGTTCAGGTTACGGGAGACAATACAGCGGTGATAGGGCGGTATCAGTGGGAACCAGTCTGTTTCTGTGTCAAGGCGTGGTGTCGTTTACCTGGCCTGCTCCCCTGAGGTTTAGCTGGTGCGTTGGTTGTAGGTCCGGGGCTGTTCCCTGACAGGCTGCGCCGCTCCTCGGCTTGTACTTGTGCAGCTGCAGCTGTATGTAGGAAAACACAGAGACACACACAGTTTACACACAACTAGAGTCACATCATGTCAGGACTGAGGAAGCAGGTTTATCAGATAATGTCTAGGAAACAGAATAGCTCTGGGTGATCCAAACCAATACAGTTTAAAAATCAGCTGTTTCTTCTCTGTGCTTTGTTTTCCATAGGAATGCTAGTTCAAGAGCGATCCAACACATTTGAAGCTACAGAACAATCCAGCTATTCAGCCGTCTGGCACAACCCATCCCTCATGGTCGACCCTGTAACCGGCCATACACGGATTTCTGTGACCAGCTCACAGGGATGGGCTGCTGTGAGAGACGTGTCTGGAATTGAACCCTTGTGAGCTTCCTGGTAAACTTTAAGCCCGCGAGTGGACATCAATCTACAAAACTACTCCATAAAACATTTTAAAAATCAATACGGGACACATTTCCAAGTCATCCTGTCCTTGCAGCAAACTGATTTGCTTTCTAATTCGGGGTTGTGATTTCTAAGCAGCACAGAGAGAAGATGTCAGTGTGCTGCATGCAACAGCTTACATTTTGTTGCAGGAGTTTACAAAACCTTTAAAGTAGCAAATACTTCAACTCTCCCACCGGGACTACCACAGGGTTGAAAGCACTTTCTTCAGTAAAAACTACAGTTTTAATGGGAAAGTCGTGGTTAGGAGATACAGGGGCAGAAAGGAAGGAAACGGTGAGGAAATGATCGAGCCTTTTCTCTGCTCCATTTCCTTCTGTGTCGATGTGTATTCAGCATCGAAGAAGTGCTGACAAAGCGGCAAACCGATGGTCAGTCATGGGACATTCACATTACTGATGAACACTTCCAACTGTGTTCTGAGAGTCTCACACTGTCTCCTTCACTAACTCAACTAGTTCCTACTGTTGCCATAATCATTCAAACTAATTCATGCAATTTGAATAATCAACTTTCTGGCAAAATTGCTGTTATCATCATTTTTTTACTTATGTAACCCTGTCTCTTTAAAAAGGCCAAACTGTTTATTTAAACGTTTTAGGATATTTATGGTTCTATAAATCACATGTACGTCTCTATGCACAAATTTTGTTGTTCTCGTGATTTATAGACGTTCTGAAACACTGCTTTACACTACTACCACCAAATGTTGTGTGGCGATAAAGTGAAAATGCGTGGACAAAGGAAATCCATTGTTGACCAAATATATTGAAATCAACAATGCTTCTTCTCCCTCATCTGTCAGAGGGGAGACAAGATAAGAAATGTCCACTGCGTGTGGCATGATGTGCTGGGTCATGATCATGTGCGTGTGTAATATTGTCACCTCACCCACCGCTAATTATAAAAAGACATTAACATGCTACTGCTGCTTCACATCAAACACTGCACCAGCGAATCACAGAAGGCTTGTCGTGATAAAGCAGCTGTAGAAATGCCGCCTTACAGACATTTCACTCAAAAGAAGCAGCCACAGTGAACCGAAATGGTTACGCGATGAACGTCATCGAAGCAGGAAATACCTTTTACCGTGTGGAAAACATCCGTGCTGAGCCCACCGCAGGCACCGATCACGGCGTGCAAGTCTTATCAGTATGGAAATTGACTCTACGCTCGTCTACCTTTACTCTGTGGAAACCAGAGGACGACAAAGGGCCGTTCTCACGTGAACGGGACACCGACAAATAAGGAGAGATAACACCATCAAATGCACCATTTGACCAAAGGAAGACCTATCAGTGCAGACATGGAGAACTGAGAAACATGGCCGGGCATCTGGACTGATTACACATCTCACACACAGAGCTGGGCGGTCTTAATATAGGTCATTACTTATATACTGTATATCACCATAAAGCATGTTTTCTGGTAATTCAATTAATAAAAGGTCTATATGAAATAGGTAATGCCTATTTTTGTATACTCCCGAGTAAGACTTACATACTTGACGAACGTAAACTATGGAGGGTTTTCTAATCTAACTAAAAATGTAAGTGCGAAAGGAACAGAATTACATGCGTGCAAAAGTAAATACTAGTAATGTGATTAAGACGAAACTTTGATTTAACTACACTGAGGTGTTCCCATATGCTGAATTCTTATCAATTCACATTTTCTGCAGATTTTGAGTCGTAGTGTAGCATGCGCTTGTTAGTATCAATCTAAAGGAAGCAGACTTATTGTGCACCGTGAATGGCGATGATTAATTATCATATCGAGTTATCGCCCAGCCGTACTCTCATAGAGAACAATCATCCTGAAGTAGCTGTAGTAGTCACACACACACCGGGTATGTGTATTCTGCAGCAGCATTGATGCTCTCAAGTCAAGCAGTAGCTTATGAGGGTTCGAAGTGTGCTGCTAAAGTAGACAGTACCCGTCACTTCACTTTAGATATGACTCCCTATTTCAACCCCACTGATGACTTGGATAAACGTGGGTAAAGTAAGAAAAACATGAATGAATCAAAAACAGAAAGAGAAAGCACATTTATCTCTGCTAAAGAAAAGGAAGCTCAGGATGGATGACGAGCTTCTCAATCGTGTTTAGGCCTGTATGAAGGTAGGCATGGAGTCTGAAGTGAGATGATTCATATCTAAACAGAGAGAACACATCGGAACGCTTTGAAAGGTTAATGCGTCACCTTACTAGCAACAATTACTGAGTGTGGGCTGTAAAATATAAAGTATATCAACAGTAACACCGTGTGAATGACATGATGATGCAGATTTAGGACAATATCTGTGAAGGAGCCGCTCAAAACGTATCCACTTGCACTGAATAAAAGAATGTACACGATGTAGTTGTGAGACTAAATGCTACGTTTCGATAGCATGCCCTCTGAGTGCACAACGGGACTTCATTCTGCATTCTCTGGTCTTTAAAAGGGAAGTAAAAGCAGACAGGAAAGCAAAGCAGCTGAGTAGGTAACAAACGTCAAGCTAAAACGTAACACAACATCCAGTTATACAAGGCTTTCTGTTACATTGATGCTCGGAAGATTGTATTGAATTTCTGGGTGCCACAAACCGCAGTGGATGTACCTACTCACTGAACTCACTGTTCAACATGAAGAGCGAGTCACACTCACACATTCATGCTTTGATTGAAGAGCTTAAATGAGAGCGCCAGGTGTGCTCATAGAAATGAGAAAGAGACGATAAGAGGAGGAGAGCTGAGTCATCAATCCATCCCTATGGAGATTTGCACACATTAACATAAATCATTGCCGCTGCACTGATAGCTTCAGCTAAACTGTTATTAACCGGGCCTCCAACTATACCACGGCTTGATCAATGGTCAATGATCAATCACTTGTTCAGGTAGCCTGTTGGAGACGGTTAAAGATCCAGTCTGCAGTGGGCGTACCTAAAATATGATGTGTTATCATCTGGTTTAATGTGACGTATTTCAGTCTGTGGTCTGTAGTCCGGCTGCCTGGTAATGTCGTGACATACGAAGCTCTAGCGTAGACTACTCTTTTGAATGCCGGTAGATCTTTTCCTATATTTCTGCTATTCACTTCTCTCATGCACACGCTCTTATCATTTCCTTGCCGTCATTGTTTGGGGCTGTCGATCACGATATCAGCTGTTCTCATCAGCAGGTCTCTTCTATCTAATAGCACAGTGACACACCTACATTGTTAGCATATCATCTTGCTGCTGTGTCTTATTAAATATGATTGTGTCTATGCCTTTACTACATATATGTGGCTTTTACACACGCGCCCCTCCACCTCCACATCACCACCCAGTCACAGGATAATCAGCTTCATCATTTCATCAGCCACCACCACCAGTGTCTGGACTCAGATTATAGCATCATCCAGTATGCTATAAAACCATTCAGAGTGCAGCACGTATATATATAAATATGGATGTGGTCCAACCTTCAGGCTGCTGATTGTAATGGGGGCAGTAAAGACAACCGGGGGGGGCAGGGGGGGCTGGTGATGACTCTGCTCTGGAGGCCGAGAAAAACACTTAACAGGAAACAGGCCAACCTGCATTACATCATAACACTTCTAGCTGAATGCCAACACTGATCAAATGCTAGTTCTCTAAATGACAAGCATCTTTAGATGATGTGGGGAAGTAAGAGTGCGTTAGGACTCTCTTTTTTTGTCCGTCCTTCCAATTGCAGCCGTTAACGATCTCAGCTTCTTGGTACAATTAAGTAGCTTGTAGCACAGGAAGTGTCTGCGCCGCTTAATGAAGGGTGGACAACCGTAAGCCACCGAGTACTAAAAGCACATCGTGATCTTTAACTCCATCCAAACACAATGGGTTAATTCACTGACGAAAACATCTTAACACAAACAACTTGTACTTTGTTAATATTGTCAAACAATCAGTGAACCCGTCTTGTGTTTTCAATTAAAACATCAACCTTCTTGGCCATTTATGTCACACAGAGCTTCCCATTGCCGGCTCAAGACTTCTGGTCCTCAGATAACACTGCTGGTGCACGCTCACACATGTTCTCTCTCTCACACTCACTCACACTCACACACACACACACGCACACACACACACACGATCTTCTATGGGATTACTCGGGACCTGTTCATGCAAAGTTAAGCCTTGGCTATTTGCAGTGCTGCTAGGATAACGATGACACATCCCAGTTTCCTCGGGAGTCTCTTCTTCCAGGTGGACCATATTCTCTTAGATCGGCATTAAAAGGATCTGATCATATCCAAATGCATTATTAGTTATTACAATCAATCCAGTTATTGCTGGGCTCTTTAACTCATTTCTTTATGATTAGGCATTGGGGGCTAAAACAGAGTACTTACAGTCTTTATAGTATTAAGTTAGTTGTATTAAGTAATATACAAAGTATTTGCTCAACTCTCTTTATGAACACGGCAGACACTATACTACAAAAGTTATCAATAAATTACAAGTACTTTGGACTTACTAGTTACACAACAAAAAGCAGAACGTAATTAGACTTTATTAGTCCATTACACCTGTAATTATTTAACTAAACTTATCGTTAGTGTGTTCCAGTGGTGTATAGTTGTTTACAGTCTGCCAACATCAACAAGAGCAATCGACTTTCAATAATTGGAAAGTCAAATTGGACAATTTGTAATTGTTTTTCATTGAGAATTTATCCTCAAACCCCAAATCTCTAGACTAAGTTGGCATCAACTGATGCCTCGACCAGACTATCCTGACGATGGTCTGACCTTAGCCTATACAAATGAACATGTTTTGCCATTCAAATATTTCCGTGTGTGTGTGTGTGTGTGTGTGTGTGTGTACACTTATACTGTAACACGTCCTGTTAAAAAAGGTTGAAGATAGACAGACGTGGGACATTAGTGGAGCAATGCTAAGTGGATCCAAGAAGCTACAGCACATGCTGGAATTGAGGCCGGTCCATTTCCTCGTTTGGTTAAATACGACCAGTTCAGAAATACTTGTCGTGCTTTTAATGCTGCAGCAGCAGCAGCATGCGCTGAGCCAGGATCAGGGTAACCTTGCAGTAGTGTGATCTCCCTCCGTAATAGCAGGGAACATTTCATCCTTGCTCACATTCTTGTGGAAACGATCGTGCACATGAACCAGATTCCTTACATTATTTTATTATTATTGTCAGTCCTCTGCTTCGGCTGAAGGCCGAGCGAACTGACATCCAGGAGTCCTACATTTCACATCATTTGAAATGTTGTGGATATTTTCATAAACCGCAGAATTGGGTGGATGTAAATTCCAGATTGAGAAGACTGAATGGAAAAGTTAAGGGAAAGAGGAAGAATACGGACTAGTCCAGTTATGGCCAGGAGTAAAACATGCCTACACCCACACTGGGTATGCAGAGAACTCCCTCTTACCCTGAAACACTAAAAAAAAACATCAGCCCAACTGCAGCTCGAGTCATAACAAACTGTGCATTCATGCCCACAGATGCAGACACAGTAAACATCCATGTCTACATCTGAAGGGGGCCAGCTGAGGCGTGGATGAGAAGCATTGATACAGACTTTGCTGCTGCAGATGGCACATATATATATAGACCCACATGACATTGGGCTACTGGACCAACCAAAACTCCTTTATCACTTCATCAACTATGCAGCAACTATGCAGCCTCATTCTCTTATCAGAGCAGTGTGTCTGACGGTGTCTGACACTCCAGCTTTATCTCAGATTCAGGTCAGACATTGTTGTATTTCCCCTCCCTGGAGAGAGGAGGGGGATGTGCCATATGTCAACAAATAAGCATAACTGTCCAATAGGATGCAGAGGAGAAACGACCACTTCTGTAGAAGATAAGAGGAGTTTTTAGGGGCAGGAAGTACTGTGAACCCTGCTGGTGTGTGGCTGGACTAAGAGCTGTCTGTCGGTTTGAACTCGTGCACTGAAAGGCGCTTCCTGAACTCTTCCTGATCGGGATAGCAGATGATCACTTTTGACAATAATCCCCAAGTGATGAGCAACGTTATCTAAGCTACTGACTGAATGCCACTTACAACGCAGTTAGCTTCGTCTACCGCGCAGTTAGACGTTTGTCAATCCGGTCTAATATATTCACACAACAGCACTTTGAAAGGAAACGTGATTATTAAATTGTGTATAAGTAAAGCTAAAGTGAGCTTGGCGCGTTAAGGCCAACCAAAACGTTGAAGTCGTGACATGTCAACCGGCTCTTAAGCTACCAAACATCACGCTACAACTTCAGCTAACGTTAACCACAAGTACTTTACGTCGAAAGCTCTTTCTACGTAACTTATCGATATAACATAAGCTATCTGCTCGGGAAGAAGTTGCATATTTTTCCGCATCCATTGTCAGCATGTAAACCGGGACAGCGAGCTAACGTGACTAGCCCAGACAAGCTCTCCGCGTTACGACGCATTCAAATGACCCGGTTTAGCGGCGGCAGTTGCCGGTAAACGTTAAAAAGTGATGACTGCATATTAAGACACAACTGGGTGAAAAAATAACCAAGGACTGACAAGATGTTTCTTACCCATTTGGGCTCGCAAGCCTTTGAGAGTCGTAGCACCCTCCGCCATTTCTATGAAGTTTTCCTTCTCTGTGTTTTTTTCTAAAGCGCGTAACACCTCGCAGCCGGACTCGGACCTCACGGGGACGTGGATATCAAAGATGGCGGTGAGAGGTGAAGAGGTGTCACTCTCACTCTTTCCCGGAAACCGACAGAACGCGGACGAACCAAGAAAAGCCTTTAAAATGCTGCTGTGTGAATGGAAAGTTTTCTCTGGAAGCCCATTTCCGGAAGCAAAAAATAAAATAAAAATCACTACAAAAAAATTTAATTAAATAAAAAAAATTAAATTAAATAAAAATCACTACAAAAACATAAAATAAAATAAAAATCACAACAAAAAAAATTAAATCACTACAAAAAATTAAATTAAATTAAAAAATTAAATTAAATAAAAATCACTACAAAAAAATTAAATTAAATTAAAAAATGTAATTAAATAAAAATCACTACAAAAAAATTAAAATCACTACAGTTTACAAAAAAATAAATGATGAGATAGAAAGTCGGTTTTATTATTTCTACTCCAGAGCTGCTTCTTGCTGAAAATCATTTTAAGGGTGCGTTTGCTCTGTACAATCCCATGAGAAACAGCAAGCAATTGAAGTATTTCATGTGTTGTAAAGCACGTTTAAAGAATTCTTCAATGGACTCACAATCCATTTATGTCAAATGTAGGGTAACCTAAGTCAAAGAGCTGTTTCTATGACAATTTCGACTTTCTATCTCATAATTTCTCTTTTTTTTCTTCTTCTTCTTGTATTTTGTTTTTTTGTAAATTTAAAAATTGATGTAGTGATATTTGTATTTATATTTTGCGGTCAGAAATGGGCTTCCATAGTTTTCAGATATTTTTCAGCTGCAGATACATTATATTTAGAAACTTTTTTAAAATCCTTATCAAAGGCAATTCCCTATTATTTAAATACAGAATAAACAGTATTTAAATGTCAGTTTCTCACTTCTTACTGTCAAGAAGAAACAAAATTGAACCCAATATTTTAAAATAATTTATTTTTTCATTTTTTGTAAAAATAAGATTAAACATTTTCATGAGCTCAAGTGATTACTAAAAACTTCAACCCTGATGTTGAAGAATGTGAGTTCCTCCACGTCCACTTGCAAGAGAATAGCGTTGCACGAGGCTGCAGCATTTTGAACTAAACGTCTTGCAAACTGCACGGTTTACCATTATTTGTGACTTGTAGTAGATTATCATTCTAATAGACGATCTAAGCGGTTGCTAGTAAACTACAGGCCACGTTTGCTATATAGCGGCCTCTAGCGTTCATGTGGGCGTTGTTGCATGCTGATTCATTGAATTGAATTTATCTACAAGAGATAATGAACACACCAGCAATTAAGTTTTGGACTCAATTCAGAAACGACGCATGCTACAAAACGGTTTAGTCGAACAAATAAAGTATTTTCAGCACATGAACATTTTTTTTCATTAGACTTCTGAGATTCACAGAGTTTTTAGAGTAGAAGGAAACAGGTCTCAGGCAAGAGAGTAAACTTTACTGAAAGCGTGTTCATCATTTGCTTTTGAGAAAAATCGTGATGGGAAAAAAATGTAAACCTTACCAGATTGAGTGTGCTGAAGAATCTGCAGAGAGATCGAGGAAAAATACAGCTGGCAAATGATTCTCCTAATGAGAGAATTTTCTCAGGGCTCTATGTTCTTTCTCTTGTCGTGAACACTGTATCCTCTGTCCTGTTCTGTCTCACATGCTTTAGCCAGAGGGCCTCTCATCTATTTTACATGGTAAACAGGAAGCAACACCGCATAGGGTTCAGCTACAATGGCCTAGATATTGTGTTATATAGCCTGTAACTCCGAAGGCCCGAATAATGACTTCTTCTCACCATTCAACCTCATAACTCATGTAACATGTATTAGAAACAAGGATTTTATTCAGATGGAAGTAATTATCTATGCAAATTAAGAACAACAATAGCATACTATGTGAAATAAATGGCCGTTCTTTAAGTGGCCCTTTATTTAGCAGTATTTCCACTCAAAATTAATTAAGAAATGCTGCAAACGGCTGAAGTCATAGCAACAGATCCTTTGGGTCTTAAGTGGTCACTTGTTCACCACAGCTCTGTGTATCGTAGCAACAACTTGAGGATTAGGCAGGAGTGCAGCAGCCTGGGCCAGCTGGGGCAGCAGTGTGTAGGTGGAGGTGCGCAGGTACCGAAAGAGGTCCTGGAAGCCTTGGAGATGAGCGTTGACCTGAGGCGGGACACCTAAAGACCGCCCCAGTCTCCTCAACACGTTCCTGTTGTCAGCAGAGTCCAGCAGCAGGGACAAGTCCTGGACTGAGTCATAGTCCAGCATCTCGATACTCTGACCTGGACGGATCATCATCATTATTATTATTATATTACTATTATTGTTATTTGTTACTTACTTTAACTGAAGCAAAGCAAACATACCTTGAGCTACTTCCCATATTGTCTGAAGTTTTTGCTCCATCTGATATTGACATAGAAAAGAGGACATTGTCATTTCTATAAAAGCAAAATACATTCAACATAATGGGTATTAGCACTGAAACAGTTTGAATTAAACAAAAAATGTAACAATGACAATAAATTAAATTATTTACAAAGTAAAATGCAAAGTATTTACTAGTTAAAGCTTCAGAAATGTGAAGATACTCTGTTTGTTTTTGTTGTTGATACAATTCTAAATTATTTGTGGGGCATTTGTTATTATTTATGCCATTTTCAGTGAATCTCAAAATATGCAACTGAAAATCGGCCATGATTAGTAAATACAGTGTTTAGCTCAACATTCAGTCAGCAGTGAGCTTGTCATTATATTGTGTTTGGTTGTCTTACTCTTGAGTGCATCGAAACAACCCTCTCACATAATTGTACCATAATGGCACCTTGACTCTTAATAAGTTAAACCACTTTACCTCCTCCATGGAAGAGCAGCGTCTTTGCTTTTCCTCCCACGTGATGTTCTCCTCTTTCTGACCGGAGGGCTTAATGTTGGTGGAGACATTAATCACAATAGAAGTAGGATGCACCTCATTGTCATGGCTCAGTGAGTTCGGGCCCCTGCAGGGATGAAATTAATATAAATAATCACGTTGAGCCTGAAAGAGGTCAATTGTATGAGTGATGAGGCAGTGTGTATTATCAAAGCACCTTAGTGGATCTTGAGCAGGAATAAGGGTCCGTGAAGGGGCCTCGGATTGTTCAGCTGCTCTCTCCATGGCGCCGGACAAAGGTGTGTACTGAAGGTCATCCACAGACAATAGTCCTTCAGGCCCAGGACAGTACTCAGGAACCTGCTCTGAATATTGCAACAAGTGTGTATGATCAAAATGTAGTCAAGCAAACTAAGGAGGAAGAGATGTCAAACATCAAGTGCCTGACTCACTGAATCTGTCAGCAGCCAGAAGGACGGCCCAAAGCAGCAGGGCAATGAGGAAAATTGCGGAAGCTGTTGCTGAACCAATCAGGACCATCGAAAACGTTTCTTCTTTTTCTCCTTGATTAAACAGAAAAAAATCACTCAAGTCAAAAGAGACCAAATGAAAAAGTGGCTTGAGAAAATCCGAAGGGTTACTCACTCTTCCCTTTAGGTTCTTTGAGATTCCCCCTGGGCGCAGTGACCCCGCTGTCTGTCAGAAAACAACAGGTATAACTTTCATTGACAAGTTCTCTGGAAAATCAGCCGTCATTAAAACTATTTATACAAGTGTATTAACATTATCATTCAGTCTTTATGGTTTATCTCTCGTTTTTACCTCCTTTAGAGCCGTGAGCTCTCAACAGCAAACACTCTTTATGGACTGTGTCACGTCTGTAACAAGGCACACAGGGCAGCTCCACTTCTCCAGTCATGCTCCTGAGTTCATAATACCTGCGCTCACAACCACATTCATACACAAAAACAAATGCTAGCACTTATCAGGTGACTGGTGTTTAGGCTGGTACTGCAGGTGTAACTCACCCTGAGAGGCACCGACCACACTGGGCATCTCTGGTGGGTGAGCACGCTGTCTTCTTCAGGCAGTTCAGCAGATTGCACTGGATGCATCGCATGCAGGGAGCAACCCCTGTATCTGCGCTGAACGTCTCTTCTCCACACAGAATGCAGACACCTTCACCGCCATCTCCAAAACCACAGTCCTGAGAATGATGTGCAATATAGACTTGGAGTCAAGTAGCATGGCTGGTAAAAGAAGGGGGGAGAAAGGGGAGAAAAATGGTGCCGTCATTGTAATGTGTAATGTGTGTTACCTCTGAGAGCTGTTCTCCTGGCCCACATACAGGGCATGAAACACAGGTGCCGTTAATGTGTAAGAACTCTGTCTGATCGCAGCTGGGCTCGGAGTGCACCAGCACGCACCACACCTGAGGAAACACACAAATATCAGCAGTGGTAGAAATATTCAGAGTTTTTACCAAAGTAGAAGTGGTAATACTACACACAAAAAAAGTTCTTCATTCAAAGTAAGTTTACTGAAGTAAAAAGAGAGGAACATTACCAGCAAAATATGAAATTAAAAGTACTTGTTTTTATGAAAACTATCTTCTTTTGTGGTGTTTTTATTGTATACACAGTGTATATGTATATGTATATAACTGGGTTCTGATGGACCTCGTTGTCATTGCAGTTTGAAAACGGTGTCTGTAGCTTGTAAGAAGAAAGAATAAGGCAGGTTGCTGAACTAGAATTACACTTGAAACAAGTTTATATAAATGGAAAACAAATTAATATATTCTTCCAGCACTGGCAGATTCACTTTTATTTTTTAAGAAAATATAATACTTCAAGAAATTACTCAATGAGCAGATGTTGTGCTCTGATCAATGCATCATATCATGTACAAACCAAAAACGCAAGTAAAGTACAAGTATCTCAATATTGTGATAAGATGTTCTTAGTTACTTTCCACCACTTAATATGATGATGATCTGGGACTAGAGAGTCAAAGTTTTAAAGATCTGTAAAAGGAAATAGCTTGAAGGTCAGACTTACCATGAGCAGAGAAGCAGAGAGACACGCCTCCATTGGAAAACTGTTCATGGTCCTTCTCTAAGGAGGATGTTACCCCTCTGCCTCCCTACACGGACACTGTTACACTGAAAAAGGATGTAAAATAACACATATAAAGATAGCTGATACCAACAAAACTAAACATTCTCAGAGGCTACAAGAGAAAAGCAATAAAAACGTACTGCTCCATATAGTTCAATAAGCAGTGCATCTCTCAGGGACTATTCACTCATTTGCAGCTGCTCCACATTCAGCAGAGGTATAGTGGTGGGAAAAGATCTTTGGGAATGCCTCTCATTCTACATCACTAATGACGCAGGAGAGGTTCCCAACCAGACTATCAACCAATGAATGCGAGACTTTCAGGTCCCCCACCTGGGCGCCTTACGTCACACCTGGTCTTCTCGTATTTCCTCTGGGGAACCTGCTAGCTCTGGACCTGGCCTCTCAGACAGACAGCAGAGGAGGAGGGAAGGGAATAAGAATGTATGAATGAGACCCTTGTTGTGTACAAATGTGTTTCCAATAAAGAGACTTTGTGTTTGTGTGTGTGTGTGTGTGTGTGTGTGTGTGTGTGTGTGTGTGTGTGTGTGTGTGTGTGTGTTTGCAGGCTGAAATAAGGTGAGACCCAAGAATCATAAAAGAGTTCCCAAACAGACAAAATCATTCAGTTGCAATATACTGTTTGACCACATTGTGGTAGCACAGAGCCATAAAACCAACAAGAAAACATATCCTTACATTTCACCCCCCTGACAGGATATTACGGGTGTAAAAAAAGAGGAGATATTGACATACATCAGTTGTTTGACTTGTTTGGACACAAAGGAAAACTGTGGACTTTCTTTACTTTCAGGTCTGTACAGATGAGAACAAGGCAGTCATGTTGGCCATCATACGTCACACAGAAAAGCCAATTAGATTTATTTGAGCAGTTATCAATTGAAGATAATTGTAAAGCTCAAGATTAGAGGAAGAATATTACTTTGACTGTTTGCTGACCTGACATACAAAAAACACACACACACACATACCTGTTGACTCAGTCATAACCATGAACAAATTGAACCTAAAAAGATTATCTTTTCATATCCAGCATTTGCAGAAGCAACCTTTGCAGATGATGTTTTCTGTTTACATGCCAAATCATGTCATCTTTAGCTTTTCGCCGCCGTGAACATTAACGTCAATAACAATCAGTTCTCAGAATGTTAGACAGCAACCCTAAATTTAAAGGTTGTTATGAAATGAGACAAGCCATTTTAATAATGAGACAGTTATGGTACATATGTGTCATAAACATCTACACAAACAAGGGTGTGTGTGTGAAGTATTTCTCAACATCCTGCAGCAGTATTTCTTTAAACTTTAAGCCTTGTTATGATAATTATTACCAACCCTCACTGAGCCACTGGACTCTCTGAAACCTAAAACTAGGAGCATTCACACTGAACAAAAATGACTTGAGTGTGTCAATGGGAGGGTTTTCAAATTCACATTTGCAAAGGTTTAATGAAGTCGTGATTGTACGCTTATCGTGCTTGTTAGTTAAGTTTATTGGTGGCGATTAATGAGTAACTTAGGGAACTAGGGAGCGGGTGTGGAGGTCTTCTTATAGAGGAATGAAGTGATGCTCGGCAGCAGACTCGTGGCTCAGCCAGCTTCTCATGAGCTGACATTGGTTGTTTAATTTCTCCCTAAACAGCTCAAACTTCAGATTTGAAGGAGATGACCGTGGTAAGTCTCAGTTATGTATTCAGCCGCATGACGATACGTTGATAATTGTTGTATTACTTCAAGGTGAATGCAAATTAAAACAATTTTTTTAATCTTGTTGTCACCTTTCAGCAGATCACCATTTGACTGACGAAAGGTTTTTGTTTGCGGTCATGAACTCCGTCAGAAGCCTGTCTTGTCTAACTCTAATCTGTCTGTGTACGCAGCTTCTGGGCTCAAGTAAGATTCAGACCAATTAAATGATTTTATAGCACTTGACAACATCTCACATAGAGTAATAGCTGTAGATACAAAAAGTGTGTATGGTAGCATCACTTTTAATGTCTTCAATTGTCTTATTGTGTTTTTATTGTTGAAGTTTTTTTCATTGTGGAACGATTGAGAATAATGGATTGCTTTGATGGCGTACAATATGCTTGTCAGGCTCCTTTTTTTTGGGTGGGATCTCATGCATCTTCATGGTGTTCTTTATATGCCTGTGTCTTTTCCACCTACGTGTCTTTGCAGCTTCCTCTGCCAGCACCAGCCTGTGGGGTAAGAAGCTGTCGTTCAAGGGTCGTCCGTGTATGTGGCAGCTACAACCAGAAGCTGTGGTACCAGCCCTCCAGGAGCTGAGTGCATGCATGCTTTTACACCGCACCCACATACCAGAGTGGACAGGTTTTGACTACAAAGCACCAGGGGGAGGAGACACACAGCTGGGACTTGGGGGCACAGGTACAAATCTGTCCGTCTGGCTGTTTGGAGAAAAACACAGCTTGGAAAGAGATTTGAAATTGCATGAATGGCACACTGTGTGTTTCACCTGGTCTGGCCGAGCTCGCAGGCTGCGGATCTACATCAATGGAACCAGTAAGTATGAGACCTCTGTGAACCCCATCCTACCCCAGCAACTGGCCCCAAAGGGCTCCCTCACTCTGGGGGTGTCTCATTATATAAACACCAATGGGGAGGTGCAGCAGCAGACTGGGAAGGATCTGCTGGGTGAGATTGGTCTGTTCAGGATGTGGGCCAGAGAATGGAGCGCTGAGGAGCTGAGGGGGCAGAGCTGTGCGGATGGAGACGTGGTGAGGTGGGACCTGCGTCAGTGGCAACACAACTGTCAACCCGAGCCTGACAACAACCTACATTGTGGTAAATATAGTATGACCTCCGACCTTTTCGTTTGCATTTCATGGTCATGCAGTTTGAGCTGCGTAGATTTTAAAAAGTGAATTATAGTCCCAGGGCTTCCTCACCTATTCTCACTGCAAGTTAATCTACTGCAGGTGAGAGTTGAAAGAGTGGGCAGTACAATACACTTTGCTGTTCAGTAACTACAGTTTAAGGTCAAACACAAGGTAAACCACACACCAGTTGAACAGTTACTGGTTCATTAACCTGTTGACAGGTCTAAAAGTTTCCATTTGAAATATTTCATATTTTAAAGCAGCCCTTTTATTTTTATCTTCTAGCATGGTCACTCTATAAAATCAACATGTGGTTCATGGTTCACTCTACGCAGCCTGGAAATTGTTTGGTGTCACTGGAGGAAGTCACAAGAAACTGGGTATGAAGAACATTTGACTAATGACTTTAAACAAACGAGTCCGATTTGAATGAACTCATCTTTGCTCTCATCTCTTATCAGTTGGAGAGCATATTCCCTCACAACATTTCAGTCCATAACATCCTTTTGTCATCCCCAAGGTAATGCAACTTGTATTAGCAAAACACTCCTCTCAGCTGGCAGTGGTGGAGGAAGTATTCAGATCCTTTACTTCAGAAAAAGTAGCAATACTGCATTATAAAGATTCAGCTCAAATTTGAAAGTGCAGTCCTTATACCTGTAAATGTGTTTAACTACTTTTCACCACTGCCAGCTGGTTTCTCGTTAAGACAGAATATCTGTGTGTGTGTGTGTGTGTGTGTGTGTGTGTCTGTATTGGTAAATATAAACTGTGATCATAGCTGCAATCTTGGACAACATTCCTGTCTGTAATTTCTGTTATCTGTGTTCCCATACAGCCGTACCTGCCATGTGGTTAATGATTTTGCTGCTCTACCTACACAACAATCTCAGGTACACCACTATTAAGTCCTCAGTTTGATGTTCCACAGAAGGAAACAGCAATATCCTCAAAGACCCGCTGATCAGAGAACAGGCTTTTTTCTTTATTGAGACAATGTCATTTTCCGAGGAAATGAATGACGTATGTGAGCATTGAGCTGAGTTCAGAGGAAAAGTGGCTGTCATTTTATGAAAGACAATCAGTTGTGTGTAAGTAAATAAAATGGTACAACCTTTTAATAAAGAAAACTTTGTTTTCAGCGATCAACAGCGTTGTCAAACTCCACATGTGACAAGTGGTGAGATAAATTCAAGACATGAAAATCTTTACAATAAGTACAGTATCTATGAGGGCTGCATGGCACGAGTTCTCCAAACTGCAGATTTAACCCATGTCAATGTGATAAATCCCAAGTTTCAGCTCTGAAGTCTACGTCAACGTGGATCCTGCTGCCAATGTAGAAGTGGTTCAGGCAAACATTGCCTCGTTGCTGAGTTCGACCTTCTCTTACGACTTCCTCAACCTGACAGCAGACCCTAACAGCATAAGCATACTCCCTGTGGGTATGTACAGCACACTATAGTCCTCTCGTATATACTGCGTCAGTCAAACATTAACCAAACCCAGATTATACGACCATTATCTTGAAAAAGGATGGATGTTCATGTAACATGAAGTTGACCGTTTCTGCCGGAAGCATATTTACGGTAATAATTGTATGACGTATGTTATGTTTTTTTCTTTTTATAGACACAAAGCAAACTCTGAGTTAAACTGGACATGTTCACTTGATGCGTGAACATTAACACATCCATTAAAGTGATTACATTTACCATGCACTTTCACTGCGATTGTTAAGTGACTGAATTAAAAGGATGCTGCATAGATACACACTAATAAAAAACATATTGCACACCTGCAGAGATGCATTATAAAACTTTACAATTCCATAATTTGATTTCAATCAGACTTCATGCTATTTTTAATTTGAGTTCTTCTTTTTAATGTTCCCTCTTTAAGCTTTTACAATTAATGATTTATTTTGTCTCTTTAAGAGTTACTCCCTGCAGTGTCAGAACCACTGCCAACTGTCAGCTCTGGTACACCTACACCAGGTAAGCATGCAAGAATAAAACAATGCCCATGAATATTACTGGTGTTTTGCAGCAACATGGAAAGATAGCAGTCATTTAGTTTTCTTTATACAGGTGCGAGACAATCTCTTTATGCTGTCATGTTTCCTTCACAGAAACAGGTCCGACTCAAAGTCTGCCAGCTCGACCCACTAACATGTCAACGACAGGAGATCCTCTAGATTACAACGAGACTCTCGGTCAGTTCTCTAAACAACTCAGACGAATCGTGTTTGTCTCATCTTCTTCATTCTTGTTTCTTCTTCAGTTCAGATCTTTACTACCTTACAAGAGAAAACGTATTTTGCTGGCAGCGTTAATAAGCATGAAGGGTATACAATAAAAACACGACAAAGACATTTGAAAACTTTAAAAGTGCTGATCATGTACGTAAAAGAGAGAACTATTATGTGATAAAAGCAGGAAACAATAAGAATGTTGAGAACATAAAGTGCTAAGCCGTGCGGGCAGCAAAGAGGCGGTTTGTTGTTGTATTAGAATTAAGAGTGCTTATTGCAAGTGAGATGGAGAAACACTTTAACTGTTTGCAACTTATTTATGGAACCTGAATCCCAGAGAAAGTCTTTTAAGACACGATTGTCTGGATTTGCGTTGATGGATCTCAGATGATTTTCCTCGCTGCCTTGAATGATTCCAGTCTCACTCATTTAAATGCTTATTCCAACAAATTGATTAGATCTGATTCTGTGATGGATCTGTAAAATAACACCATCTGTCAATATTCAACCTAAGCAGAATGTACAGACCTTGTTGCATACTGCCGGAGTGTGCACATCAAAGCTTCTTTTCCAGGCATATTGGTACTTTAATACTTTAGTTACTGGCTACCTGTACAGTACAGTCATTGGTGTAGAGCAGGGGCGTTTCTAGGATTCAAAGAAAGGGGGGGCTTAGCCCCAAGGGGAGTGGTATGTTTGCGGCAATTTTTTTTGGCACCGTGGATATCATTGTTTCAGACAGTTCATAGATTGGTTCAATCAGAAAGAGTGTGATTTTGCTCTGTAGTTTTGCTTGCATTCAGTATATGATAACACAAGAGATAGAATTTCAAGGGCATCGTGAAATTCGACAACACAAATATGAACTTTTCTCAAATAAAGAGAGAGAAATAATTTTCCCGCTTGTAAATGAAAGACTAGCTTTCATATCCGCGTCACTCCCAAATCCTAATTCTTAAAGGGGCCGCACACAATGGATGGAGAATGGACCTGACAGTGTCAACCTTATATCGTTAAGTAAGATGATGGGCTGTTGGATTGTAATTTGAAAGGGGGAGAAAACATACAAACCAGAACGCACGCACATATGTAGCATGTTAGAGTTATAAATAACTTGTCCATGTGAGAAACAATAGTTATCACCCAAAAAAAAAAAAAGAGTTTTTTGTTTTTTTTTAAAGCCAATAATGCCAAATTATTTGGGGGGGGGGGGGCTGAAGAACATTTTAGGGGGGCGAATAAAAGAGTAGTGGGGGCAGGACAAAGGAAAAATGCTTCTTAGAAAGAACACGTGTTTGTTCTTCTGTATAATGTTTAGCACTTTAGAGATGCACTGCTGTGTTATTATCTGCTGTCTTTTCTCTCCTGCAGTCGGACCAGACACATTCTTCAGAGTTAATTTGAATTTAAGTATGTATGGCAGCCCGACAAAACCAGAGGATAGTATTGAGAAATGGGTAAGAGACTCACATAACTGAACTTGAAAAGCTGTCTAAAAGGAATTTTGTGTACATTGAAGTATTCTCTTTTGGCAAAAGGTGAAAGAACAGCTGGAGGTGAATGGCACCATGATTGTGCTGAATCTCATCATAAAGGAGAACGTTGGCAGGTGGGACCCATTGAATTAATTTAGTTAGTGAGTGCTTAATATATGTGATGTAAAAGTGACAGTTGACATATTAATTATCTGTAATATTCATAGGAACATGGAGCAGCACAGCGGACTGATGGTGAGTGTGCACTTCATTTTAATAGCATAGAGAAAAAGACAAGACAAAAATGGTATAAATGGCATCATTTTACAGTTTAATCTTTTGAATAATATTTATTACCATTTCAGATACTGATATTTACATTGCAACATCTCTCTGGTTTTCTTTTGTTAGATTTTCCACGGCCAACCAAAACAGTAGGTGACCAAAAAAGAGAAGAATAATGGTGCAAAAAGCTTCCTGTTTTTTTTTGCCACTAACTGTATGTTTCATCTGCAGATATTACTGCACCTTCCATGTTCAAGAATACAACATAAACAGCGTGGCAGAAATTCTCACTTTAATTAATGCTACCTTGACATCAGGGTATAAAAATGATTCCATTATTATTCAAACTATGGATTTGGCGATCAAACACATAGGTAAGCTTGCCTGAATGTCTGAGGCTGAATAATCAGTGAAATCTTTTTAATCAACTCTCAAAACTTAAAAAGCCTTTTATTAATTTAAGCACCAGGTCTTTGTTTATTTGAGTGCTTTCATTTGCCTAAAGTCCTGAAATGTTTTAATTTGGGTTCAACTATGTAAGGCACTCATTATAATAAAGGCATTATAAATAAAGTTGTATTATTATCATAAAAGCTGGATTTCCTAACACAAGTAAAGATGTGTTTAGTTATGAAATATGATTTAACATTATTCTTTTTCAGTGACAGCAAACTGTTTAGAAGAAACTACTTCAACAATCTATGGACAATACATTTGGCCTGAAGTGTTTCCACAAGTCAACCAAGAGATAGGATGCGAAAGGCCAAAGTCAGAGACAGGCTCCAGGCTCTGGTAAGACCATTTATCCAGGATTTCATATTTGACCAGAGACAATGAAATCAAGACAATATCTCAATCTAAGCACATCAAAAGACTATAATCTTAAACAATCATCATGCTGTACGAAATGATTGAATATATTATTGACTGACATTGTACAGCGGCGTATTATAAACGTCTTTCACACAATAATAAAGCATATAGTGATTTACAATAGAGGCAACGAGTAATAATGTTCACGGGTTTATTCACACCAGAGTTATCTGAGCCAATATTGATCTTGTGGGATTTTATTTTTGTATAGTTCTCTATTTACTTGTATATCCTATTCATCGTTGTTGCAACAGACTGTTTCCATAGAGACAGCTCAGCGAGACAAGAAAAATCCCTCAATTACACCGTCCTGCTCCAACCAGTCCGCCCACTCTGCACACAAGCTCTGACCCCCACACATGTAATACTGATGGATCACTGCCATACAAAAAAACAATTTCCTAGACGGGAATTATTAATGTAATGAAGGGCTTCAATCTTCTGACATTATCTCTGACAAATGTAATATAAATATTACTCAAGGGACAATATGGGTAATCAGTTTTATGGTCTCTGAGTGAAACCGTTGACGCTTTTAAGACTAAAACACAATCATCAGTGGTGGACATGTGCTTTTAATAATTCTTTTTATAACCCTTTGACTGATGGCAAGTTTAATTAAACCAATCACAAATTTACCAGAAATAATATCTAATGTCTTCTGCCTCTGTTGTTTCTGTCTCCTCTGATTCTCTTCAGTAAGTTAGACTTTGACACTGACACGACCAGCTGGGCTAAACCTGATATGAAAAACTGCAAACCGCTTGTGATCATATCAGACCTTGACAATATCACTGTCACCACTGGTAAGAGGATCAGTCACACACACCGGCTGGTTAGTTTACATTATGATATGATTTTAAAAGATACTTGGAAACAAAACATTTCCCTTCTTGTGTATTCTTTATCCTTTCATCTAAATAAAACTACAACAGAATAACCTGCTGAAAACACAGCAAAAAGCATTAATGACATTACTGATTCCTAGGTAATGCGGCTGAGGTTGTGGAAATGATTCAGGACCTTGTAGATGTTCAGTTAGGTAACAGTGCAGAGCTCTCTTCCTCCAAGCTGGATACAGTGGTGGAGAAGCTCAGTGAAGTGGTTGCCATCAGCAGCATCAAACCTGCGATTGGTGCCGATATCGTCAATATTATTGCAGACATCCTGCTTTCCGAAACATACGTCACTCCAGTGGCTAGCATGTAAGTGGAGAGGGAAGTGTGTTTCTTGAGCACCTCAGTAAATGTAAAGCTGAACATAACTTTTGAAGACTTTTGAGATTTTACAGAAATACATATTCCTTCTAAATCCTATATTTTCTAATCTTACTTTCTTGTTAATCAATCTGGGTTTTTTTTGTCTTTGGGAAAGTCTCCTTAACCTGACAGACAGAATGGGGAACAATATGGATTTCCAAGAAGGATCTATCAGTATATCAGCCCCCTCGTTTGCCCTGTCCATGGTCAACGTAGATCAAAACGAATTCAGTGGCCTTACATTTGGTGTGTCCTTTGATTCTTCTAACCTGAATCCCGAGGTAAGACGCTGGAAATGGTTCCACCTTTTAGGACAATGTTTGTGACACTAATGTCCTGGAAACAGTGTTAATAAAAAGACATTGTGGCCTCAAGCAGTTGTGGCAGATTAACCTTTAACAAGAAAGCAAATGACAAGAGTTGGAAGTCTGACACGGCGTCTTAAGGTTGACAGGTGATTAGAAATACCTTGTTTTTCCACAGATTTTTGTCAACCACAGCTTTGTGGGTGGACTGCTCCCTGACACGAATGCAACTATCTCTTTGCCCTCTGAACTCCACAACTTCTTCCCTTCTGGAGAAAGAAATACAACTCGTATCCACTTTCAGTTCTATGGAACAGATGACCTTTTTCAAGTATTAAATCTTCTCTTGTTACTATTTGCAATCTAGTTGTTTTCCTTTTATTTGGTTGTTGTTGTTTTTGCTTTTTTTTCTTCTTCTTTTATTTTCAGATGCTGAAAAAATATTGAAATATTTCCTGCAGACCACATAATGCTCACAGTTGTGACATTTTGGAACATACGCTTATTTGCTGTCGTGCAGAGTTAAACGAGAGATTGACACCACACTCGTGGTTATGGTTAGCTTAGCATTAATACTGGTAACAGGTGGAAACGGCTAGCCATTTGTGGTGTGTGTTTATCTGTGAGCTGTAGAAGATTTTGAACTGAACCAGGCTAGCTGTTTCCCCCTGGGTCCAGTCTTTGTGCTAAGCTAAGCTAGCCGGCTGATGGCTGTAGCTTCATATTTACAGTATTTACTTTAGAGTGATGTCATTCATCTCATTTAACTCTATGCAACAAAACGACAAAGCATAAATGTCAAACTATTTCTTCTAGAAAAAAACAATGAAAAGTGGCACTAAATTAATTTAATTGTCCCACTATTTAAAGACGAAAACAATCATATAGTTAAACATGGCAAATCTGCTTTCTCTCACTGTAGCACATTGTATTGACCACTGAGCTTATCCTTGTCCTGCCTCTTGTGTGACAACCTTTTTTTTTTTTTTTTTAAAAGGACCCAGACACAACCAATGCAACACAGAGCAGCTGTACATTGAATTCCTTTGTAGTATCTGCCTGCATCAATAACAGCCTTATCAACAACCTGAAGGATGGAGTGGTGGTGACCCTCCGCCATCGAACACCCAAACAAGTGAGAATGAATTCAGTTCATCAGTAAGAAGAAGAGCTTGTATTTCACTTTATAACCACCATCACCTCCATGTTGTCTTTATTTTACAGCCAGAAGACAAGGTTCAGTGTGTGTTTTGGGATTTCCAGAAAAACGGTAATTATTTATCATACTTTATATGTTTACAGTTGGATTTAGATGATTTACAGTAATTCAGCCACATGAAACTTTTGAGGAACCAGTGACATCAATAAAGACCCGTTAACACAGGAAGCTGTGTGTCTGCTGATAAGCTGCTGTGATCAAATGTGTGTGTGTGTGTGTGTGTGTGTGTGTGCGTGCGTGTGTGTGTCAGGTGGGCGGGGCGGTTGGAACAGCAAAGGTTGTAAAACCCGGAGTATTTCTGCTAATCGGACCAGCTGTCTCTGTGATCACCTCACACATTTCGCTGTGCTGCTGGTGAGTCACTGGTCTGCTTTTTATAAATCAAACCAGGGAACAAACCACTCCCACAAGTACCAACATACTGAGTGCAATCGGGCCAGTAGCGGACTGCTGACATACAGTATATTTCTGCTAATGATGCAAGAAGCTGATGTTAACACCACAATGTGTGAATTTCAATTATATCATTGTTTTTTTTCAAATAAATATAAAGGGATGAGTTTTAACAGTGCATTGTGTTTCAGGATGTATCCAGAACACCCATCAGTGATGCTGACAGCCAGATTCTGACAGTGATTTCATATCTTGGTTGTGGTATATCCTCCATCTTTCTTGGCATCACTCTTCTCACCTACCTTGCTTTTGAGTGAGTCCCCCTGAGGGACACCAACACAGTAATCACATTGCATCAAGGTTTATATTATAAAGACCATCTTTGCTGCAATAACCAGCGAGAGGAGGCTGAAGGAAGAAGTTCCATAAGCTGCATTAACTGAAATGTTGCTTCATAGCAGATTGTGTTAAAATCAATTTGTTTCCTATTTGCACATGCCTAACATCACGGTGAGATCTGAATTGTTCCCTGTGTCTGTCCATCTCGTACACATTAGGAAGCTGCGTCGAGACTACCCATCTAAGATACTCATCAACCTGTCAGCTGCAATGCTGGGGTTGAGCATCTTCTTCCTTCTGGACTCCTGGCTCTCATCCTTCTCCAACTACAGTCTGTGCATTGCCACTGCTGCAACGCTGCACTACTTCCTGCTGGCTTCGTTCACCTGGATGGGCCTGGAGGCCGTGCATATGTACTTCGCACTGGTCAAGGTCTTCAACATCTACGTTCCCTCCTACATCCTCAAGTTCTGTGCTGTAGGATGGGGTAAGACAGAACTCAGAGTGTTGCTCGCTGTAGTTGGGAAAGTCCAGTTGGCTTTGATTGGCTGTTCAGGAGTGGGTTTTGATTTGTTTGGGTCAAGCAGCTGGGGGTTTAGTTGGTAACACTTTATTTTACAAATCTGTAATTTCTAATGTAATTTCCAAGACGTGTCCTGGAAATTGACCTAAAATAGGTATGTCCTTGAATTAATTAGTTCCATTTACACCCAATTAAATATTTACTCATCGCTCATTTATTATTACAAACTTTATTCGCCTTATATGTTGAAATATATCCTTGACATGACAACAAGACTCAATTCATTTAGTGTAAATCTCATTAAGTGGATGTGCAACTGTAGAACAAAGTCTTTGTTTTTATCTATAATTATATTAGGTTGAAATAAATAAATAAAATAAAGCCTTACTACGGAGTTAGGAATGTCAGCGATTTAGAATTTAATAATTAGGATTGTATGTGTCCTCACAGGTATTCCTCTGGTCATAGTCAGCTTGGTGCTGGCCATAGATAAAGACGCCTACGGCAGCGCTGTGCCTGAAGAGTCTGCAGTGATGCTTCAGTCCACTGACCAATTGTAAGTTACAAGCACTGGTCTGTCGTTGAAACCGGAGTGAATCCTTGTGAGTCATGGGAGCATCATGTCTGAATTGTGTGATGAAAACTGTGAGATGGGAGCCTGATGAAATTGATGAGATCATGAATTCATTGTTGAGGATGAGAAAATTGCACAAAACAACAACAAACAAGCAATAAATCCCAAACTCTGCTGTGTCGAACACACAGAAAGCAATGTAGCTGATGACATTCATCCTAAATCCCAGAGTAAATGACATGATGATTATCTCTCTCCCTCCCTCCAGCTGCTGGCTGCAGATTGACGTCTTCTTCTACGTAACCGTGGTGGCATTTGTCCTTCTGATCGTGCTGTGCAACACCTTTGTATTCATCGTGGTTCTGATCCAGATCAGACAGATGAGTTCCAATAAGCACTCAACAAACAGCCGCATCTCTTTGCATGACTTGAGGGCGGTGGCCAGTCTCACGGTCCTGTTAGGCCTGACGTGGTCGATGGGCTTTTTTTCATTTGGGCCAGGCAAAGTGGTCTTGATGTACCTGTTCACCATCTTCAACACCTTGCAGGGTAAAATATGAGCTGTGGCTGGTGTTAAGTATTATTAGCTACAGAGGAGCGAGTCATTTTTCAACACATCTGTAGTTCAGATCTTTTTTTTTGTCTAAACTCATCATGTGTGTTATTTTGCATTTACCACCATGCACTTTGCAGTTAATCTTAAAATAAGATAAGATAATCCTTTATTAGTCCCGCAGTGGGGAAATTCACAATCTTCTTGGTTTTAAAATGATTTCATAATTTTGGTTTGATGTTGTTTTTTGAGACGTTACATTTGAACATAAGAGCACTTTTAAGAATGCAGTTAAAGATAAAATGAAACTATATTAAATTTTAAAAAAAGTGCTAAGAGAAATAGAAAAACAAAACTACTACTATGTCTGTATCATGTTGTATTATTTCACAATTGTCTCATATGTCTGCTCTTTTTTTTTTACAGGATTCTTTGTCTTCTTCTTCCACTGTTTGATGAAAGAAAATGTGAGGAAACAGTGGAGAATGCACTTGTGCTGCGGACGTTTCAGACTCAGTGATTACTCAGGTAGGCTACATATTGTTTGTGGACATAGGACTAATTGCAGAACAATGGCCAGATGGTTAAGGGTGAGCTATTTTCAGGATGGTTGATGAAAAAGGTTTTCATTCTCGTCCCCTGTGTGTTCAGACGGGAGCCGCTCTATGACAATGGGCGGTCGCTGCAAAAAGAATCATCTTATTAACTCCGACTCAGTCGCTTCTGACAACACTTCCACCATCAGAAAGGTCTCCGACTCCTCCACAGGATCAACACCAAACCACCACCAGGGGGCGTGAGCGGGCCTCTGTATGTGCCATTCTGGACATCTCTACCCTTCAAGATCCATCGTGCATTCACTAACACTCATAGCAGAACATAGAACAGCTTCGTGTCTGTTATGGGTTAGGGAAAGGATCAAACAAACCGTACGTTCAGTGGGATACACAAGGTCCGTGGACTCTCCTGCACCATGATCAGCCATGAAAATTATAATAAAATGAAATGATGTCAGTTCAAAGTCCAGTAAAGATGTGTGCTATGAAAAGTACACATTTTATGCAGGCAGCTCATATTTAATCTACAGTTTACCTTCAAGGTTTACAGTACTACTTTCACTGTACAGTTGAATCACAGAAACAAATATTCAGTGTTTGTAAAACGTTTAATAGTAAAGTAATAAGTGAAGTAAATGTTGCATCGGAAGCAGTTATAAGAGTTTTCCATGTAAATGTAACGTGAATGTAATGGAAAAGACAGTATCTGTAAACAGCAACTATTAATACATAATAAATTATACTCATGAGTGTTTTTTTGTCATATGTAAGACCAGTCTGCTTCTTCTTTTGACCTTTAAAGTTTCCCTGCTTATGATGTTTCCTCTGAATACATGTTTTAAAGGTATACTTCATATCAATGATAGTCAAATATTAATGTAGGTTTTGTGGGCGTCTGAAGATTGCTTTTTCTCTGTGCAGATTTCAACCCATCAAGAGCTCCACTGATTGTTCTTGACTGTAAACTAAAGTAAGACTTTAATTTGTGGACTGACTTATCCTATTGAAATAATGTATGAAATAATGCTGCAATTGAAACAACATCATAATTTGGTAACATAGAACATCTACACAATGAGCAAACAACTAGTTTTTGTATCACAGACTACTGTTATGGTCTGGCTCTAAAACCATAGCAAATGATCATGAAAACTCAGGCAAGGAGTTAACCAAACAAAGTCCTTTATTCCACAAAGACCAGGACATTTCAATTTGCAACAAAAATTTGCATTCTCCGCCAGTTCAACTCTAGCAACATCCTACTGCTGCCAGACATTCCGTGCAGCACACCAGGTGTGTCAGGGGGGAAGAAGCCAGCTCTCCCTCCGGATGGGGCGGGTCTTATAGACGAAGGCAGTGGCCAGCTGCCTCCAATCTTCTTGAACGCCTCACTCTCCAACGATCCAGGACCCAGGGACACTGAAAGATAGACAGGGTCCCCACAGGAACCTGGACATCAACCATGCCCACATCTCTACATCACAAAAAACCCTGCTTATTTTAAAGCATATACTATTACCTACTATCCTCGAACCCAGTCACCTCAACATTTGCCCACCATTCCTTCAACTATGGCCTCATAGCCCATCCCAGCTACTGGTACCTTGAAGCAATTTTTAAGAGAGAGACAGAGAACAAAGTTGAAAGAAAATATGCAACAACAATTACTGACATAGGGCCCTGGACAACGCGGCAGAAACAATATTGTCCTTCCCTTTAATGTGCCGTCTATCCAAAGAGTATGATTAAAGAAGCAGGGACCATTTTATAAGTCACTGATTTGGACAGCGCATTCTCGATAAAATCGCTGTTTTATCGGCTTTGCATCCCCTCTGCTGTCACACCACACTGATTATCTCATTATACTACAGGGTTAGGTTTAACAGACAAAATGCAACACAGTTTGATCTGTTATTATAAGATAAGATAAGATAATCCTTTATTAGTCCCGCAGTGGGGAAATTTACAATACAGATGTATCACAGTAAGTATAAAAAAGCGTATTGTAATAAATAGGGTCCAACACATTATTGCATTGGGAGAGAACTACAAGTCAACCACAGAACCCATAAAGTTCTTCAGATATGGAGGTCTATTTAAAACTAATACAATTTTGTATTTTCTACCAGGTAAGATGTTAATGAGGTTTAACTTTATGATGTAATATCCAGATTTTTAAAAGTAGTATTTGAAATCAAGCCTCTCTGACTGCCATTTCACTTTAGCGGTGTTGTTAAACTCTGTGCTCTTTGAAAGTGCGCCTGAGGAATGTTTTAATAAGGTGTCAGCCAGGTACTGGAGGAACTCGCAGGATGACATTCTGTTCATTGCTGGCTGTGTTCGGGACACATCACACGCCCTCCCAGTCTAACACATCATGTTACTTTGGAGGCTCAGTGAGCAAAATATTTTGTCTAGGAGGAACGTTAACGTTGGTTCTTCGAATCTAATAGATTGTTCTGATGTTCAGACTCAAGCCAGGTGAGGCTTTTTTCCAACAATTTCGTCTGCTGCTCATTTAGGTGCAAACTTTAGCTTTGATTCAACCAGTCAATGCAAGGACGCACTCCGTGGTCATCTTTGCTCGATCATCAGGTCAGGTAAGTGAAGCAAGTTACTTAAAATATAACTGACGCAATGCTTTGGTTCTTAATTCACAAACAGCAGTTCAGTTCAGTTTCTTTTCTATCACGTATGTAATCTGATTATTTACACTTCACATAGTTTTTAGTTACAGTGGCTGACTTAATGTTTTCCCAAAAATAGGTTACATTCATTATGCATTTCAACTCACACAATATATTACCTCTCAGGTATTTTTAAATGTCCAACCACAATGCCCACTTTTTTTTTCACAAATGCCAAAGTGAACTCTTCCAGATCTTGACATGTTTCTCAGAATTGATCATCTGGTGCTGGAGTGAACATACTGTGCACCATCGTGTGATTTTCATGCATTGTATAACATGTTAATACCGGGACCTAAAATGTCCCAAAGTGAAAGGTGTACTTTACACTTACTGTTTGTGTGAAATTGAGATTAAAATGCTTACAATAATTAGCATCCAAGAGAAAAGGGCTATTGTGTTTTCAGGGATGCAATGAATACAATCTTTTAATCACTATATGCAAAGAAAGACCAAGTAAAAATGTGGACTGGTACATAATCCTTAAATGGATTAGGTTGTGTAAAATACTGTAAAGAAATTTCTGTAAAGAAATAGAGCAGAAACATCAAATCTGTTGTTGTATGTATATTAACAACCTGTTTTGTCTCAGTCACAGCTGACCCATGGAGGACAGAAATGACAGTCCCATGGCTGTGAAGGTGGAGGAGCATTCTCGTTGTGTCATTCTGACTTACTTCCAGGGGGACATCAACAGCATGGTGGATGCTCACTTTACCCGTGCTCTCAGCAAAGTCTGTAAGGCCAATGCACCCGTAGCAAAGATGAAGAAAATTCTTAAAACGATTAAACTGGGTAAGCACGCAAAAGCAACAGTGTATGACCTACTCGACTACAAACAGGACACATTCATCCTCACTAATTTATTTATTTGTCCCCCATAGAGGAATCCAGCCCCTGTCAGGGCAGTGCTGTTGACTGTTACTCAGAGTCACAGGTCCCTCCCCCTGAGCATCTCCTGAACTTCAGCCCTGCAGAAGGCTCATGGCACTCGTTTGCTGCCAGGGCAGCAGAGGGCCCCGGGTTGCAGTCCATCGCCTACCCCCTGTCCTCCAATGGGTTGAGTCTTACCGGACAGCAATACGCCACATCTCTGCTCAACCTACTGCATAATGATCGGGTTGAGATGGGACCCAGCATGGCCTCCGGCTCCAAGCCAGAACTGCAGTGGACGGTCCCTCAAGGATTTAGAGACTCCGTGGACCCCTCTGCGGGCTTTGAACCTGGTAGGCCTTCTGCTGCAATTAACACCTTTAAAGCTGTCTTCCAACAATCTAATGATGAACTTCTTGATATTTGTTAATGTGCCTACTGATTACCTTCTCGATGACGGGGTTATTTGTCATGGGCAGCACTACACAAGCTGTTTAAATACTTGTAGTTGTGTCTGTTGTGGCCCTGAATGAGCTTAAGTCTGAGAGAAATAACCCCTAGTGATGTCATCCAGGTCATCTCGACTTAGACATCAAATTATCAACAAAGAGCACCAAACTGGTAACCTGACCCGGCAGATGATTTGTTACACAAAACCATCAGAGAAGTTAGTTAGTAGTTGCCAGTAGCTTTGTGAACGTCCTGTTGATGGATGAAAGCTAATTGGGAAATAATTGCATCATGCAGTAGTGAAACTCACCTCACACAGAAACAGGAAACTGTGGGATGTCTCAGTTGGGAACTGTCTCTGCCATTACTTCCTGTTATGTATTTACGTGTTTCTATTTTTGAGGTCCCTTAAGTAAAGTAGAGGCGTCACTTCTCAGATCAAATCAAATCAGAGCACATAAAAAGTCACTCATTTGCTACAATGATGATGCATTACCATGTAACTTAAAGTGACACATAAATAGAAAGTGATTATGTGCAGTTTAACAAATAAGCTTTGTTAGCTAATTAGACAAGAGACTACCTATAATTACTCGGTCCTATTTTGAGTTATTTAGGAACTTTTTGTTACGTATTTGTTAATGACCTGTTCCTGACTTCTTCACTCGTTTGCTGGTAACCACTTATGAATTTATGAATCTTATTCTGAGAAATGCTCCTGTGTGTAAAGGATAAAAATATATGTAATACAGCTTATTATTACTCAGCATGTTTTAAGACAAACTTGTTCATGAACATCCATTAATGCTAAGTAATCACTGACATTGTCTCCTCTCTGTCAGGACGACGTCTGGACAAGAAGGACTTGTACTGGTATTGAAGCGAGACGGGGGGCGGCTTCAACTGCACCACATACTGGTGGATCTGCAAAGCCACCTGGCTTTCTGTTCAACTGTCGGATGATTTCTGGTCAAACAGGCCTCACTGAGTGTTATCTGAGAATAATCGCAAGATAAACACTGCAGCGCTTCCATTCCTTTGCTGAAATGACCTCAGTACATCAGCATGTAGCAAGTGGAGCGACCTTTCTGAAAGGGAACACTCTTCGACCAACCTGCTCTTCAACTCTGTCACTCCTCTCGCAGATCGTAGATCACTGTATACGATACGTTGTTGCTCCAGTTGGATGAAGGGCATTTTCTTCTGCCTTTATCAGGCAGTAAATAGACCAGTATTACAGTAAGTTAAAGAATGAACATTTGTGAGTGTGTAAATATTGATGTTAATATCTACAGTTTCAGTTGTTATGAGACTATTTCATATACTCAAACAAACAATAAAAATAGGGATAGTGATGTTAATGACTTGTTTTATGTAAACTTAAAGTCATGCACTGTACAAAAATGGAATCATATAGAAACTTAAATATCTGGGAAGACCAACAAAAACATCTCAAACACATCTGTGCTGAAGACAGATGTGTTTACTGAACATATTAAAAATGTGAAATACGTTTGAAGTAAAACAAAGAGTGTCAAAAACATTATTCTGAAAAGTAATGAGCATCAGACACACACAATGACCAATACTGACACTTAATGATGTTTTGTATATTTTGTATATTTTCCATTTACTTTATACATTTACATTTTAGAGGGAAATACTGTACTTTTTACTTCACCACATTTATCTAACAGCTATAATATAATAAGCTACTACAACATTAAGGTAGGCTACCACTTAAATATTAATGTATCAATAATGATTCAAACATATATTGGTATAATGCCGGTACCATTCTGTATAATGATTACTTTGACTTTTCTGTTGCCAATACATCTGAACTTCTACTGAAGTAGATTTTATACGCAAGACTTTTTCTTGTTATGGAGTATATTTATAGTGTGGTATTTCTACTTTTACTTAGTAAATTCTATTGATGTCTTCCACCACTGCATATGATGTATATTTACCTGTAGTTATTGATATTGTGGAAACCAAGGTGTTCAATATTGAATAAATAAATGAGACATTATGAAAGAAATAATCATGTGAAGAAATACATGTACTGTTTGTCTCAATTGACCGACAGAGACTTGATGATTAAGAATGGCAATATGAAATAAAATGATCTTTGGGGAAAATGGTGTTGTGGAATAAAAATGACTTCTTGTATGAAGTATTCAATAATGAGCACTTTAACTGACATTTTCCCCATGAAGACGCTGAATGGAGATCTGCTGCTGTATGAAGTCCATGGGGCAATTAGTGAACTAATGAAAGGACAATTTTGCCAACAGGAAGTGTAACTCAATAGAGTCTACAAGATGTTTTTTCCCATCACCAACACCACCATCCTTAATTTCCTCAGCTCTTATCACCTGTTTGTTCCACTACCTTTTCACACATCCACATGATCTATTCCATTTAGTGCCTCAAGACGGTGATGGTGCAAAAGTATCATAATTATAAATGTGGAGAGTACAGTGGGTGATGTTTTAGTCGAACTTCAGAGGCCGGTTGTCATTGTTGGAGCATGTTCGCGCCTTGCGTCTGGCTCTGTCGACACAAATTTCCCTTGAAGCTTGGCGAGGAGGGTAATTCAAGTTCTACACTTTGATGACACTTTTTGAAAGGTGCGAACTTTGGACGTTAACAAGATAGTTAAAGTTTATCTCAACTTCAGACAAGAGGAAGTTTAGATTGAAAGTACGTCATCATCTAAAGTCTAATCAAGTAGAACACTGGTCATTTTTTATAGAACTCAACAGACATGACAATCACATATATGACACATAAATAAGGAAAATTTGATGCATCATGTGGAGCATTTATTAAAAAATGAAGAACAGAGTCAATAAAATACTAAACTTTGTTTTCACCTCGGATCATTTAAACACTAAGACTAGAACTGTTTCTTTTTTTTGAGTTAGGATTTTATTGTCATATACATATACATATAATACAAAATTTGACTTCTGCATTCAACCCATCCCGAGCAATACACGTGTATTGCTTTGTATTGTTAATTTTGCTACATATTGTGCCTTTTCTAAGTTTAGTTACTGACCTGCTGCTTGCTTTAGCACTATAGTGCATTTGAACACATGCTTTGGAGCAGGATAGAAGTGTAGAGTAAACACAATGTTGTTGTGTTACGTTTAAGTTTGTGTGGTAGCTTTATTAAAAAGCTAGAGTTAGGTTGGATTACTTAGAATTCTAAAACGATTCACTTGATATTTTACAGCCTCTTCATGCCTCTATCATTCAGAAACCATGTAACATGAAATGAATGTGGAACAATAAGCTGCTTGATATTACAAATTACCCTGGAGTTTCAGCAAAGTAACTATTCATATGATAATTTGTCCTTTGACAGCAATAGAAACACATTAAAGATGGTATTTAACACACTGTGATCATTAAGACACTGCAATTAACGGTCCTGGAAACAGGACTTCCTGCAGAATCCCATTACACCGACATCATTCTGAGGCATTTCAGAGCCAACGCAGACAATTTATGCTTGACACAGCATCCCAGATATATAATCTCAGTAGCTGAACCATAACGCTGTCTTTTTATATTCTATTGGTGTTTGTCTGAAATTATTCAGTTCTTACAGTCTTTTTATTATTAATTTATCCTTCGACGTTTAATCTTTCCTTCGGTATCAGCAAATATCTCTCTGCTGATTTGCTCTGCATGTCTGATAAAACACACAAAAACACAGGGATGGTCCTTTTTAAAGCTATATTGTGGAAGTTGGTTTACTTTAGAAGATGCTGTGCAAAAAAGAAAATGCTGAACAGGTGTGAAACTGTCTTTGTTGGTGACTTACTTTGTGTGCTCAATTGAACTAGCTGCACAGCAGGAACAGTCTGGCACAGAAAGCAGCAATGAATATAAAACGCACAGCTCAGCAAAATCAAGCAGCCAAAGTTTGCATTTCTGGAGCAGAACGCCCTGACTAATTCTCTCCAGACTGGAAAATGATAACTTCATTTTGGACAATCACTTAATCTGGCCTGTATCTTCAATGGAAAATCCTAAAAGCCAAAGGAGGTCGGTGTAACTATGCGAATGGGATTCAGGTCTCAGAATGAGCTCTGCACAAGACTTGAAAGGCGTTGCATTTGCTGCTGGAAAGCATTTACTTTTATTTACACAGGCCATTGTGATCAGAAGGAGTCCTTATAATAACTGGAGAGACTCTGAGAAAGAATTTAAAAAAGACAGACAAACAGTGAGTGTTTGAGCGTGGCAGAGAGAAGGGGTGGGGGTATTTGCATACATTATAGGGGTGCAGGTATAAAGAGCGCACAGGGCACACTCATCAGGGCTTCTCTTCAGCCCTCTGCTCTCCTCTCACCGCTATGGACGTCCACGTACGCGGTTGCAATTTCAGCACCGCAGACAGCTCTCTCTCCGGCTCAAGCGTCGGCACCGTGGCCACTCCGCGGGACTCCCCGGCGTGCCACAGCCTCGGCGGGCTGAGCCGGACCGGCCACACGGTGGTTGCGGTATGCCTCGGCTTCATTTTAGTGGCGGGAATCCTCAACAACTTCCTCGCACTTCTGATCTTCGCAAAGTTTCGCTCCCTCTGGAAGCCCATCAATGTCATCCTGTTGAACATCAGTCTGAGCGACATCCTCGTGTGCGTTTTCGGCACGCCCTTCAGTTTCGCTGCGAGTCTGCACGGGAGATGGCTCATCGGAGAGCACGGCTGCAAGTGGTACGGGTTCGCCAACTCCCTCTTTGGTGAGTGCGATGAGTGCGGATAACCTGCACAACTTTAAATCAGTTTACTCTTGTTTCCATTTCATGAGGGGTTCAGTCAAGTTAAAGGTTGATGCAACTGCTTGGCCATAAATTGAAGTATTGGACAAACTGACATTTAACCTGATGATGGCGCTACATGAAAGTAATTAAAAGTCCTCCTGGGAGGAACATGAATGTGTGTATACTTATTTATTTGCACTATTTGTATAGTTTACAGCTTACAGGACACTTGACTAGTCAACTTCACCGAACTCACTTGACTTGTATCGAGAGGTTTGAATTCTTATTTCATTGTTGATCATTGGTGCTTTTAAAGCAGTCCTGTCTACGTTTACCTTTATTTGTCCAGCTTTGCTGTCATTGTTCCTAGCTGTTATTTCTATGTCTGTGTAAGTACATTGAAAAAACAAATTCCTTGTATGTGCACATATACTTGGACAACAAAGGTGATTCTGATTAATGTCATGGCAAACAATCAATAGTTGCTGAGACTTTTATCTTAAAACCAGATTTAAACCTCATGATGGCGCAACAGGAAAAGTCACCAGCATCATCAAAATGCAGTGTGTGGGAACCATGAATGTTTGTACAAAATGTCATGGCAATCCATCAAATGGTTGCTGAGATATTTCCATCAGGACCAAAGTGGTGGACTGATCGACAGAGCGGCATTGTCATCCATTGAGCCCCAGGAATCACATTACAAAGTCCTCTTTTACATCTACTTTCACATTAAAAAAGTAAAGATTTCTTCAGTCAATTATTTTCTTTTTTAATTCAATGAAACCAAGGGCCCAAGAACATCATAGCTGTTCTCCATCCAGAGCTAAATGAGAGATGGTCCTTGTAAGGATGAATCACTTATGAATTGCATTCTCTCCCTCTCCTTCTCTTGATCTTTAAGGTATTGTGTCCCTGGTGTCCTTGTCTGTTCTCTCCTATGAGCGCTACACCGCCGTGCTGCATTCCTCGCAGGTCGACATCTCAGACTTCAGGAAGGCCCGGCTCTGTGTCGGAGGCTCCTGGCTCTACTCTCTCCTCTGGACCTTGCCGCCCTTACTGGGTTGGAGCAGCTACGGACCAGAGGGCCCCGGTACCTCGTGCTCCGTCCAGTGGCACCTCCGTTCACCCGCCAGCGTCTCGTATGTGCTGTGTCTCTTCATCTTCTGCCTGCTGCTGCCCTTTCTGCTCATGGTCTACTCTTACGGCCGAATCCTGGTGGCAATCAGGAGGGTGAGTGAGTTATACTAACCTGTTGCACTCTTAATAAGGTTCATTATTTCAATTCACAAACTGACAAAACCAGACAAATAACCATAGAAATACGAGGGACAGAAATACAAAAAAGCAGGGTAATGAAAACATATAAGGCCTTATGTGGGTTTTTGTATTAGTGAATCCATTATATACATTCATTATTCCTCACTTGTAAGTGGGAATGGAAACACTCTTCTATAAAACAGCACAAAACAAAGTGCCGCCTCTCTCCATGTCCATCTGCTACGGAGCCTTTATAGCTCTTTAGCTATGCTAAAGTGGGCTCCGATGTGGCTTTTGGGCTATCAAGGTGTTCCTAGGACATAAGATCGTGCCTCAGAGGTTGAGTCATGGGTGTAAGACTTGCTCACATGTTTTCAAAGTAATTTCAAGGAGCATCAAGCCAGATAATACCAGAAGCTACAGCTCTGTACTATCTTACCAATGTATCCTACAGGAGAAGGAATGAGGAAGTAGAGGGCATCAAGTTTGTTCTCGGCTGGCTGTGTTCTTGAGGGCAACAACCCCCCCGTCAGTTTCCAGTGACTCATCCCCACCATGGTGGGACTTACATAAACCTCCCACTCACACAAATAATTGACAATTAAGGGCACCCAAATGGTGTTGAACCCCTCCCTGCACTTTGCAACTACTACTCCTGTCAATGAATCACCAAGAAGGTATTTTTAGATTGTGGAAGCAACCCGTTACTATTGGATACCTGCTATAAACACCTCCATTTTTTCTCTAAGCACCCGAGGGAGTCAGAGAGCTTTGCAGACTTAATTACTGTACCGGTGAATAGAGGTTCAGCCAGGTTTTTCTTAGCCTCTGCTGGCTTCTCAGAGGTGGTTTAAAGTGACACATCAGAAGGAGAGATGACATTTATATCAACAGTGTGGCTCATACTTGGATCTTTTTTCTCCACATGACAGCATCACATTTAGATTAATTTCATGATGCTGTTTATAAAGCACACACACTTTTTTGAGATGTACTGTTCCATAATTCTGACTTGTTGAATTGAAATTGGACAAATAAATACCATTTTATTCCAAAACAAAAGAACAAAACATTTATTTCCAATTCATTTATTGGAGCTCAATTCCGTAGCACTCCTTGAGTTTTCAGGCCATATTTTAGTCTTTGTGGTGAGATAAAATATGAATAGGCTTTGTATTAAGTGATGCTTCTCAGATTTATTATGTGGGTGATATTCCAAACAAAAGTTAAGCCATGCAGAAATCACTGCTAATTGAACGTTGTCAGAATAAGTATTACATGACAGGGCACCGAGGAGAGAGAGCAACAAAGGTTGTGGCCTGATACCACACCAGGCGAAGTGTAATTTGACATTTCCTTCACCTGCCCGACACGCTCATTTCTTCATGAAGCTCCGTGATGAGCATCACAGTGCTAATTAAACAAGACTGTGACCACAGAGGTATGAAATCGATACTGCAGAGGTGACAATCACCACAGAGGATATGCTGCTTTAACTGCTTGGATATGATATATATGAGCTAATTTTACATCAGGTGAAACCAGCAGGACAGATGTAATGGAACAGGGCGTATAGTGGCCACGCTGCTGTCCAACAACATGTAATCATGCAGTATTGTCAATAGTGTCTTTTTTAATACAACCACTGGATGGCGTAAGATAAAGAAATGATTGATGAAAATAAAAACACAGAAATGAAAGTGTGACAGGCATTAAAAACCCTACGTCTCCCATTGGCCTCCTGGCTCCTCATAACTCAGACTGTGCTGCAAATGACACAATATGATCCAAGCCTTTACTTTTACTACAGTATTTAACGCAACATTGGTTGACAATATTGTCAAGACCTGTGCACCTTTTCCTCTCCTCCGCTTTCCAGGTGGGTAAGATCAATCTGTTGGCCGCTCAGCGCAGAGAGCAGCACATTCTGACGATGGTGTTGGCCATGGTGTCGTGCTACATGCTGTGCTGGATGCCCTACGGCATCATGGCGCTGATGGCCACGTTCGGTAGGTCCGGACTGGTCACTCCCGCGGCTAGTGTGGTTCCCTCTGTCCTGGCCAAGTTCAGCAGTGTCATCAACCCCGTCATCTACATGTTCTTCAACAACCAGGTGAGGGCAGGGTGGGGGAAGATGATGACCATGTCTCCATGGCATTTGTTACCAGATTGAAGTACGGTGTGTAAGATCTGGTGGTTGAAGTTCATATGTTTGCTCAGCCTTATCTAAATATGAAGCGGGGAGGAACATAGAGTGGTTTCATCCACAGGGGAAAACTCAATGGCACCCATGCCTCTGTGACATTGAGGATACAGCTCAGTCTCAGTTATTATTATCACTCTCAGTGTCTCTTCAGTGCCACTTCTCAGGCACTACATGCAGCACACTAGATGGCACACTTCTGTCTGTTTAGCCACAAGAGCTCTCTTTCCCCCACAGCTGTATGGGCCAGATGTGTTCTTACTGATTTGTCTAAAGTAAACACTGTATACGCTTTGATTAGGTGATTTGCAGGTCAGATGACATTTGGAAGTTGATGGAAATATTTTTAAGTCGTTTTTCACTGCTATTTAACAATGGCTAAATGTGTTATTTTGTCAAAAAATCTTTTGAAACCAAAAGAATCCCTGTTTTAACTTCATATATTTTTCCTGAAAATGACCAAATTCAAGCTTACTGGATATGACCATAGTCCTTTGTACTATTACACAGTTTTACAGATGCTTTGTGGCCTTCATGAGGTGCAGCTCTGAACCCCAGTCTGTTCAAGGACAGGAGCACCCAACTCCGAGGACACAGTTCTCTGGCTTCTTCCTCGTCCACAGACGAGCCTCCCTCCGCTCTTCACAGCGTCAGATCCTCAGCGGCTCCGAAAGCGCTGCGCTCTGCAGCCGCCACAATGACCGCCACACTCTCGTTGTCCACTACACTCCTTAAAAGCTTTTCATCTTTTTCATCTGACAGACTGTGATCGTTAAAACAAATGTTTCAGTTTTTCTCACTTATTGTCCAAAGTGCAACCAAAGGACACTAATTTCTTGACACCCTGATATTGATTTTACATGTACAGTTGAGATTATTTTTTAACCACCAGGGGAAGCCGTTGCAAAAAATATCCTGAAACCTGCCATGTACATGAGCATCATGGTAGCATCAATGACAATGAATGTATGTCGCTTTGCTGGACTGCATGTGTGTGAGTTGCTCTTGAGCATTGATTTTGAGTTATTATTTCAAGTAAGAATGTATCGTATGTATCAAATTAATGCAGTAAAAGACCACACTAAAAATGTTACCTGCTTTAGTCACCGTAGCACCGATGCAATATGGATTGATTTTATCCAGTATTAAAGGGTTATTTTGACCAAGTCTTAGTATTATTTATTTAAAGTACATTGTTAGATATGAAAAGCTCAAGTTTGACCCTAAAACTGTTACAAACTTGTTGTTAGTTGTAAAAAACGATTTAGCTCAACAGTCAAAACTTCAATAACACACATGTTGTTAACAATCAGGAACAACTAGTGACGTATTAGTTTAAACAGCGTCCGAGTGGATAAAAACGGTTCTAAACCATACACTATTTGAATTTAGAGAAATAACCCAACAGTTATTTAAAAAGATAACACTAAGACTTGGTCAAAACAACCCTTTGATACTTGTTAAAGTTAACCCAGTATTGCGTCGGTGCTATGGTGACCTAAACAGGGTAAAAACATTTTTTACTTTCTTAGGCTCTGGATATTTAAAGCAGCACGGACCTGATGAGTAACAACAACTTATTCTGTAACCTCTACAGGCAATACCAGCATATGGCAACAACGACAAAGTTGCATCCGCAAAGTTGCATATTGCACTTAAGCAGCGCCCTGTATACTGTGTGAATACACCACAAACATTTTACATTAACAGGCGTTCCACTTGAATAACTTGTGAAGTAAATAACTGTAATAATCAAACCAGCATTGTGAACATTTGTGCACATACAGCCAGCTTCTCTTTAGTGGTCACTGAGCTGTTTCACTGATGTTTTATTAAGATTGTGTTGTATCTTATTTCCTGCTTTTGGTATTACTCTGTAAATCATATCTATTTGCTGCTACTGCGGTCTCAGAAAATACCCACAGCATCAATACCGTGTAAAATAACCATTTAATTCTCAATACATAGACCTTTGGGTATACTCTGTGTAATGTTCTACTTTAAAAACTAATTAAATACTAAACTTCTTGGGAATTTGATTTTCATTGGCCAAAAATAGAAGTATTGCCACATTGACATAGACATACTGAGTAATACAAGGCTTCATGGCATGCAAAGAGGTGTCAGGCAACACGCACACATTTGTACATGAACCCGTCAGAGGTCACAGATCTGCATCTCGGAGCTTCCAGGAAGTAACGAGAGAAAAACTCAGTTGCCCCAGAGAGCAGTGTCTCAGAAGTGCAAGGGTTGTCACGGACCCCAGGCCTAGGTTTCACCACTCCTCTCCACCATGATCAACACCTACCAGACCAGCATGGCTCCACCGCCGGTGCCTCCGCGCCTCAGCGGGTCCCACTCGGTCCTCATCCCGGCTCCACTTCCATCACAAGGCCACAGCAAGTGTCTAGTCCGGTTTATAGTTGGCGTCGTGTTGCTGCATTTGTTTCTGTCCATCGGAGGATTCATCTATCTGAACCACAATGACAAAATGGTAAAATCTATTTTTTTCTTTTAACTAAGTACAGTGTAGATGTATAGTTGATGGCACTGCCGCATGTATTATTATGGTAATTATACAGCAATCGTCCAAGCCATTACAAGTTTTAATGTTTTACTTTGCCTAATATATAAAGGTAATGGCTGTTATTTGCATTATTGTCTGCTGTTTAACTTCAAATTTAAGCTAAAAAATAAATAAAACTCAAACAGGTCATTACATTTCTTTGTGCAAAATTAATTCAGTTTCATTCTAAAACATGAAGCAACTTCATACTTCAAACTGGGGTTTGTCAAGTAGCAATATAACAGTCAGGCCAATGAAACGGTGTTTGAAACAGAGGAAATGCTCTTGAACAAACAAGTGAAGTGTGAAATTCACAGCTCAGGGTGTCGTTACAAGATGAGCATCTTGTGAAGAAAGATATTGTGATATTAAACTATGAATATTATACATGCATAATAAGTATAATAAAATGTGCATTCAGCATATTGTTGAGCTGTTCCTGACATTCTACTATCTTCATTTTCTCAGCCTCCCTCAGGAATGGGGGTAGAAGGAAAAAGTATGTTAAATTCATTATTTCTTCCTGAAAAGTAATTTTATTAAGTTGCATACAAAAAATGCAATCTCAATGTCTCTGACCAGATGTTTGTTCTCTTCTCCAGTGGATTATCGCTCATCAGAAAAGCAGGAAACTTCCTACAAAGCCTTGGCACGCATGGTAGTTGATGAGCAATCACGCACATCAGATCAGAAATCTTCATGTAAGAAATTTCGGATTTTTTTAAACGCAATCAAAAATAATCAAAAATCTAGAAGTTAAAAGTAAAGATATTCTTAATAATGTGACTTAAACCTCTGCCTCTGTCTCTCCAGTGGGTTATCTCAAGTGGGACATCAACCACTCAGTTCTTAGGTACATCGACTACTACCACTACAGTTGGTTGACTATCCGGGAACCTGGTGATTACTACGTCTACTCCAGGGTGACATTCTCCAAGGGCGACGCTCAACTCGCTCTGGTCAGCAAGGTGAACCTGAGGAAGAATGAGAAAGAAGAGGAGAAGGTTGTGATGCAGGCCTACTGCAACCTGGACAGCAGCAGCAGGTCTGCATTGATCCCTCGCCTGTGCACGGCCACGCAGGGAGAGGTGATCACACTGGAGAAAGGAAACCAGCTCGGTGTCTGGGTACAAGACCTTTTACTGGTGAACTACGAGGAAGGAGCCACAACCTTTGGGATGTACAAACTGTAGGACTCCTGTGTGAGCACATGCATGGACATAATCTGAACAGTGGGAACTCATTAAGTGGATGTACTTGGATTTAAATCTGCTGAGAACACTGTTAAATAGACTGGATCAACATTCAAACTAATGGATTCTGATCTTTTTTTTATCGTGGAGACAAAGACCACATTCCTGAAACATAATTTATTAAATCAGATATAACTGTGTGATTTTGTGATATTTTTGTGGCAGTTGTGAATGCTTGTTCTGTATTTATTGATGTAAATGAGCTTGTATGGTTGTGAAATGAAACTTTGATATTTAATCTAAAAGATTTCTTCTCTTTTCTTTGTCTTGCATTCAGGAGTTAGTTAGACGTAGAGTAAAGAAGACACACACATTAACCATTAACATCCAGACTAAAGCACCACATATTTGATGTTATAAGCATGACCCAGTATGAGGTAATGCATACGATTTTAAATGGTGCAAAGGAAAGATGTGCAGATATTTTCTGGAAACTAAAAAAAGTTTAGTGCTGAAAACAAATTAGCATTGTTTGATGAATTAGAAATACTAGAGGTGATTGGGTGCCTTGTAGAAATTAAAATACCCACAATCATCAATAGTATTAACACAAAAAGTGACTCACACTATTCTTCTGACATACCCAAAATGATGCTGCAACAGCTACACAGAAGTCAAACTTTAACCACACAAAGCGCACGACTTTACGCATTTCCCTTCTGAACCACTGGTTTTCAATTTACTCGTGAAACAGCAAATACTGCATTTTGTCACGAAGCTAAGCCACAAGAACCAAGACCACTGAAGATCTAGGTTACCTCTCCAGAGGTGATAACTAGACTCAATGCCGAATATCATTTTGTGGTATGTAAAGAAACGTAAGCATCAAACTGAATGTTGTTTTTAGTGGTACAAGAAAGATCATCTGGGAAGCAAATTCACATCTTAATTAACTCCTTGATTATAAAATCACACCCACAGTATTTTACCGCTGAACATTATTGGTTCCCATCCATTTCCATGTGGTCTATGAGTAACCCCACAAGTTTCATTTCGGTTCTTTGTCATGTGGCGATACAGATTAATGCAGATTGATCTAATCTATGGGTGGGCACTACCTCACAATGACAACAACACTTTGATACACAATTGCAGACCAAACATTCATACACTGCACAACACAAGCGTCTGCAGCATGGTTTGAAGTGGCAAGTATTGAGGATAATAGTAATGGACTAAAGCATGAACTGTAGCTGTCCTGTTAAAATGCACATGTACGGTTTGGACCTTGACCTAGTTTTTTTTATTTAAATCACTGGATACACCTAAGCCTACCTGTCTGCTGACTAATATAAGGTGTTGAAGGTACTTGGTGAGTAATGCAAAGGTTCTACCAGGAGGTTTAAAGTTGGCACCTCAGACATCACAAAACCTGGCAGAGCGTCTCGCATGTCACTGTCGTAGAGTTAAGCAGAATGGAAAGTGTGAATCTCTATGGAGGTGTGTACAGATGCAGAGGCGATGCACTCTCACAGGAAGTCATCTATTCTAGTCACTACTTCCATCCTTTGAAGGGTTGCTCGCTAACGAAATCTGAACAACCCACAGATTCCTGAACCGCACATGCGCCGAATGCTGCATGGAAAAGCCTGTCTGGGTGGATTTTCCAGTGTGAACGAGGGAGCATGCAGCTCATACTGTGTGTGTGTGGCGATATGTGTTCGAAACCTTTGGAGTTTTCCATTTCTCTCTTCGTGAAATTAACGTCAAAAAGTATTATATTAAACTTTTATTAAAAGGATGACCATACCAAACACAAAGTACAGAGTGTCTAGAAAAAAAAAAGCATTACAATACTTGCAACAACAACAATTGCATAGAACAACCTGCCAAAAACAATACACACAGTGGTCTGGAGATAAACAAGATGAAACCGGAGCTCAACCTCCCACCAGTAAGTGCTCGCTGAGGATATTTGGAGTTGAAAACTAAAGTACGTGGTACGTAATGAAAACAATTTAGGACACAGGAACAGCAATAATGTTAATCTCAACAGGGAACATGTTATGTGACAGAGACACGCATTTGTACAGGAAGCAGAGCTTCTGTAACGCTGAAGAGATTCTGGCTGCCAACTGTGCATCCCACTAGAAATAACAATTAAAGATCATCATTTTTTCCAAGCTGATGTGCCCTTGAGCAAGACACCATCTCTGATGCAGAAGTACCAGTGCTGTCTTGTACCCTAAATAATGCTCTGACATCCCTGGAAAGAGGTGCATGCAAAAACAGCACTTCCCAACAGTGATTGCGCACTACGACAATGTTGGAATATTTTGGGTCATGTGTGATGAAAATTGGGACCTGGACAGTGATTTTTAAACAATCATCAATACCAAGAGACGTGATTAAATCAAGGCAAATGATGAAAAGCCTGACAGTGTGGTGGCTTGACCACATGGTGCGGTCCTTTTTTGGGTTAATTCTTTTCTTAATATTGCAATTTCTCCAAATCTGGCCTTCCATGCCGAGACTAACCCAGAGGTCAGCCAGTAAAGCAGTCACTTATTGCATTTCAATTCCATCCACAGCTGCTCTGCTGCGAGAGTAGCTAACAGTGTTGACAGTGTGCACACACACACTCAACCTCATGAGGAAATGTACCGCAGCGGGTCTTTGTAAAGAGGCTGCATCTTAAATAGCACGCAAAGCCCTGTATGTTTTTCAGACCCGATATATATATATATATATACACCCATTAAGCTTGAGCTATTCTTATTGAAATATTACGATAAACCACCTGTGAAACTTTCTATATAAATCATGCATTTAGTCCCAGTCCGGTCATAAACTCTCTTAAGTTTATCGACCCCTTCGGGAGGCACTTGAACATTTGAGCTCGACTCAACACCCACAAATAAATCTCTCGGCTTGTTTCCCCGTCTCTATCAGCTCTGCAGGACCCTGTTAGGAGGCCACAGAGGCTGCGAACAAAAACCTCTGAAACCTCAAGTCAGACTCATTATTACAGTCACTTTTTTCTCTTTTGAGATGAAAAAAAAAAGTCTATTTTCCCAGCCAAAATGAGGATGTTTTTCTTCCTGCCTTAACACAGCAAAGTAGTTTAATACAATTCCAAACAGAAGTAAAGGCAGCAAAACTACATCAATAAGGCAAACACCACAAATAAATGCTTGGGTGAACAATAAATAATGAATATTCTTTTAAAATTCAAAATAAAGCAAGGTTATGTAATTAATATGCTAAAATCATACTTGAATATATTTTAGTAAGAAGAGTAGGGGTGACATCTATGTCATTATTTGCGTTCTCTTGTATAGAAATGATACATAGCGAAGCCTTTTTCTATTTTATTATGCAGCTGCATCCCTGATAGCTTTGGACTATATATCTGAATATCTTGATTATCACATTTCTGATGCAGAATTCACACTGTAGAAACACTGTACATTCATGCAGTTTTTTAATGAACAAGGGCTGCGTTTGGAAACAACTGAATGTCGCATGATGAGCTAACCTGTTTGAATTGCTTAAACGCCAACAAAAAAACGGTGTGGAGCCGTGTGATGTGAATGTCTAGAATGGTACAAAAATGCCAATCGCTCACACTCATGAAAGCTCAATGACTCATGGGTGTCGTTGTGACAAATAAAACATGACAATGACGAAAACATTCATGATGTGAAGAAAAGAAAAATCAGTCCCCTTGATAACGGAAGTGCATGCAAGAGAACACCTATCGGACTTGATGGCTTCGTACTCCTTTTTCTGTTTCCAACTGAAGCAAACGAAGCAGCGGAGATCTTGTGTTTTTTTCCTTGTCCAAAATTGTCCCATTTGTTGGGGGAGTGTTCACAGTGCCAGTCGCCTAGAGGCAGCATGTTCGAAACATCCCACTTCACCAGTCTTGGTTTCGCTGAGCTGCTTTGTGGAGAAGCATATTTCTGGTCTCATCTAGTGAGGCTGGATCAGGAAGACAGATTAGATTTCATCAAGAATGTCAAATCAAGCTCCAGCACTTGAAACGTAGAACCTCCCAAGCAGCGTCGTCAGCGAGGGAGTTCCACTCTGCTGTGTGTGATTGAAATATGGAGATGCTACACAGACACACAGACACACACACACACACAGACACACAGACACACACACACACACACACACACACACACACACACACACACACACA